CCTTCTCTGACTCCAAATCCTGCGTACTCTCCGTTCATCAAGTTATGAAGCCCCAGACCCTGGGGTGTGGGTCAGGGTGGCAGGGAGCAAGCTCCTGTCTTGCCTCCCCTCTTCTCTTTCTCCCACCTCTCTCCCCTCCTCCAGGATCAGCTGTGGCAACTTCAGCAGGATCACAGCCAGCCTTCCCGGAGTGGAGTGGAACAAGGCTCCCCTCCTCCAGGGCTCCTCCCGGGTTACTCAAAGCTCCGTGTGGAAGGGTAGAGGGAATGCGGAAGTGGCCTTCAGGGAGGTAAAGGCCAGGAGACCCAGAACATAGCATCTCTAGGTTTCCCATGGGCTCCTCTCCTAGACTAGCTGGCCTTTCCTCAGGGACAACCCAGAGTCAAATTTAAACAGCTCTCTGGGGACATTACTCCCCTTGCGTGGCGGTATTTTGGGGAGCGGATGTGAATTTCCCTGAGGGGGAGAGGTGTAATCTCTCAGCATCCTGCTTCCAGCCCCCACCCTGTAACCCCGCCCCCTAACATGCTCCAATCTCCAAATTTAGGGTGGAAGGAGGAAGTGGAAAGATGTTTAGGCCCTCAGAGTCCAGAGAACTGAGACCCAGAAGATAGGGGGAAGAGGCCCCATTATTACAGCTGACAGGAGTGGGTCCTGCAGAAGCTAGAAGGATACGCAGAAGCTAGAAGGATACCCAGAAGCTCCCACTCCTGTCCCAACCCTGAGAGTCTGCGTGGAGGGTCCTACTTTCCTTGTTCAGAGGTCACTGCGCGCCCAGGGGGCAGCTCCCAGGGGCTCCCTATGCAGCCTCAGCTTTCTCCCCAACACCCCCCTACTCTGCCTCCCCCTCTCCCTTTCCAGAGCGGGGAGAGGGAAGACTGAATCACCGCAGCCGGGAGACCGGATTCGGGGCTTCCGGAGAGCCCCAGGGTCCCCGGCCCAAGCCCCTCCCCGGCCCGCGGCGCCGCCTGAGCATTTATGGTAATGTTTGGGTCGGTGGCGAACGACGCCGGATGCCCCGCCTTCCTGGAGCCTCTGCGGGGCGAGATCTGGGGAGCAGGGGCTATGGCGGGGTCCCCTGGGCGGAAGCCCTGGGTGCTGGGGGGCTCCCCACGTGGAGAAGCCCTTGGGGTCGGAGGGGACAAGAGAGACAGTCCCAGGTCTCAGGGCTCAGCAGGCTGGGGACTAGGATGGGAGGGGTGTGACCTCCCTCAACATACCCCACCCACAGCTGCCCCCTCCCGCTAGTTTAAGGGTCCCTAGTCCCCAGGAGTAGTCCCTATGCATCCACATCCTCTTTCTCCTTCTCTCCCCCCCGACTCCCTGGCAGAGAAGGGGCTGAGAAGAGAGGCCAGGCGCTCCCAGGGGAGCCGCTGGAATGCTGGGAGCCTGGGAACAGACCCTACAGTCCCTGGGAAAGCCACGCCGTGGGAATCCCACCCGCAGCCCCCTCCCCAGGATGGACCACCGGATTCCAGAGACCCCAGCTCCCCAACAGCGGGCTTTGTGAGACTGGAAAAGCCCCCTGTCCAAGCCCCAGCCTGGCTCAACCCCAGAGTTCAGTAGGCCAGCTGTGACGAAGACACCCCGTCCCCCTCCCTCCCCTCGCCCTGCCTGCTCTAACATAATCCTCGCCATTGTGCCACTAGCCCCTCCCCCCTCCGCCTCTCTGGACCCCTGTACAATGGGGCCTTTGCCGCCTCCAGCACTCAGGGTGGAGATGAACTCACTCACGGTTTTTCCAAGTTTAAAAATAGCCCCTCCCATCCCCCCTAAGTCACTCTCCTCCCCTTCCACGCTGTTTCAGGGGTGCACCTTAGTCCAGGCTGCACCTCCTTCCTGCCGCCCTGAGTCAAGTGCAAAGGCCATGAGTGAGACTCCTTCCGCCGGGATAGGGGCTGCTTCCCCCCATTCAATCTCTTCCCCCACATCTTCCACCCAGCCCCCCAGTATCCGGTTTCCTGGCCCATGATGTCCTCATCAACAACTGCCCCCCACCCTCCTCCCACCCTGTTTTTCGCTCCCTCAGCACAGACTCCTCCCAACTCAGACCCCCATTCTGGAGGAATTCTCCTACCTTGCCTCCAAGGACCCAGATTGGACTCTATTTTCTGGCCAGGCCAGGGGGTTCCCCAGCCTCCATAACTGCCAAGATTGCTGGGTCGCCCCCCCAACCCCACCCCCAGCTCCTTACTGCAGCTGCAAACTTGTCTCTCTCAGCTTCCTTCCTCCACCCAGCCGGCCCTCCTCACATCCTCCTGAGGAAGGCCCCTTGGCCAGAGGGATGGGTGGGAGGCAACTGTGCCCTCTACGCTGGAGGTGAGAGAGGACTCCCAGGTTAAAATCTCACCCCAGCAAGTCCCTGGGGGTAGGCCCCGCCTCATCTTTTTACCAACTCCACTGGTGCTGGGGCCCCACTCTTCTCCACCTCTCCTTACAATGAAATGAAAGGCCCTCCCACCCTGGAGACTGTAGCTGAGGGACCCAGACCACAGCCACCACCCCACCCAGCCTCAGTTTCTCTGCCTGGGGTCAGACCTATGGCAGAGAGATACACAGAGGGCATTCCACACAGCGGGTCCTCTCATCTCTGAGCAGCCTGGGTCTGCCATGGGGGTGGAGGAATGCAGCATTCCGACCCCGTCCTTCTGGAGAGAAATGAAGCAAAGAATTAGGACTCTGGCCCAGGGCCGCTGCTTCTGATCTTGGCCTACAATCTGGGCAAGGCTGCTTGCAACCCAGTCCAGGTGCAAGAGTCCCGGTGGGTGGAAGGCCCATTACTGCCTCCTTGATCTCCTTTTCTGCTGGATCTCAATCCTCTCTCGCTGGGAGTTTTTCCTCTGCCACCTTCTCTCTTTCCTGCGACTGCCGAAGCCCTGTCTTCTGGCATCTTAGAGGAGCTGCAGGACTGACACCCTCCACTTTCTGCTCCCTCTACCCTGTCCTCCTGCCTTCACTGCCCTTTCTTCCTATTTCTAGTCCCCTCTGAATCCTCTCCAAGGCCTTGACCTCTCTTTGGTTTGGAACCCCAAAGTGCCGCCCTCATTAAGCCATCCCAAAGCTGTCTGCGCCCTGACCTCTCCCACTTCCTCCCTGGCAGCTCAGATAGCCTCAAGCTACTGGCTTCCTTAAAAGACTTTGTGCTTGCTTGGTGGGGCCATGCAGGGAAGGGATGTCACCCTAGGCTCTAACCTCATTTCCCTTTCACTGCAGAGGCAGCTCCTCCACCCCCACCTGGCTTCACTGTCCTCAGGACGGAAGAAGAATGCTGAACTGACTGTCCTTGGTGGTTAGCTGGCTTTGTTTTCAGGCCAGAGAGGAGAATGATTAGTTAATGGTGTTAAGTGAAGGGAAGGGGGTGGGGGCAGGGAAGCAGAGCTCCACGCTCAGCTCTAGGCTTGTCAGCGCAAACAGCATCCTTCAGCCATTCCCCCTCCTGCTCCCGTGGATAAACAAGCTCATCCATTCCACTCCGCCCGGGTCCAGTCCATACATTCACTCTGGGGGATGGAGAGCCAGGGTCCTCCTCTGCCTCCCTCCCCCCAGGCTCTAGGCCCCCTGCCCGGGCTGGCTTGGCAGGACCCCGGGCTGGAGACTAATGGACAGGGAGGAAGGGGTCAGCAAGGTTCTGAAAGATGAGGCTGATGTGGTTTGAGAGTCATCTCTGTGTCATCAAAACGCCATCCCAGAGCATTCTCTCAAGTCACCTGCCCATCTCTGGAGTTTGCTGCCTCACCCTGCTCCTCCCCCAAGCAGCAGAAAGTCTGCCCTGCCAGGCAATACGCCTCAACCCCAAATCAGGGCCCTATTTGACCCTGACTGCTGAAGGAGTCCTGCAGATGTGGCCCCCTTTCCCAGGGCCAGGGTGCTGGGGTCTCTGCGAGGCAGAAGCCCATCCCACTCCCCAGAACCTTAGTTCAAGAGGCCAGAAGACCCAGGGCTGGGGAAGAAGGGCAGTGGCAGGGCTCCCACCACCCGGCTGTGTGGCAGACCCCACTCAGGGCTGCCTGACACCATTCCTGATCCCTTCTTCATATGCCACCCCCACAGTCAAGAGGGACCGGGAGCCTGTGCAGGGGAAGAGGGGCCTGGAGCTCTGCTGCAGGGGGTCTTTCAACCTCCGGGAACAGCAACAGGTTTTCAGGGGTCACTGGAGACCTTGAACCCATTAACTCTTCCTCTTCCTTTCTTCATTCAGGTGAGGGGAAACTGAGTCCCAGGCTAGGCTCAATGAGTGAAGAGGACAGAAACAGAATTCTCAAGGCCTGGGCTTGGAGAAGTGTGAAACCCTTGGGCCTGTGCCTTCAGCCCCCTCCCTCCTTCCTCTAGTCAGACGGACTTGCAGGAGCGTGGGTTTGAAGGGGTAGCCCATAAGGCACCATCTCCACTCCCCAATACAGGTACCTCTGGGTCTGTGGGATCCGGCCCAGGGTTCTCCCCTCCAAGCTGCCAGGACTGCGAGGCTTGGGGGCAGCGCCAGGCCGGCGGCAGCCGCAGTGGTGCAATCGTTCTGGGAAGCGACCGTGGCCGGCCGATTTCTCTGTGGCAGGGGTCTCGCGGGCTGCAGGAAGAGGCAGAGAGAGGAGCCTGAATGGGAGACCCCCTCGGGGACACCGAGGACCTTGTCATCCGCTCCTCCCGCCAGGAGGTCCCCCCAGGGCTACCCTGGCCGGTAGGGGCTGAGCGGGGGCGCGCGCTGCTGGTTCTGACCCGGCATGACTCTGGGCATCCGGGCAAGCTTCTCCTTGCTGCCGCCTCGGCCAGACGGTCCGGCCTCGAGACACCTGTCACTGCCCCCTCACCCTAACCAGGGTGGGGGGCGGGGAGGCCGCCTCCGGCTTCCCCCTCCGCGAGCTGCGCGGCTCGGCGCAGCTCCCGGCCTCCGGCGCCGGGCCCGCCCCCTAGGGCTGCGGCGCGGGGCGGGGGCGGGGGGCTGCGCGGGGCGTGGCGGGCCAGCCCCGCGCTCCGGGCCCCCTCCCCCGCCCCCCTGACGTCAGCCCCCGGCCGCCGCGGGCTTGCTCACTTGCCACTCGCCCTCCGGCCGGGAAGCATGGAGCTGTCCAGGCTCGTCTGCGCCTTTCTGCTCGCCGCCTGCTGCTGCTGTCGCCGTGCCGCGGGTGAGTGAGTTCGCTGGGGAGCCCGCGCCTGCAATGGCCCGGGCCGAGGGGCTTCGGGAGCGTGCCCGGGAGCTGCGCTGACGACGCGGTGCGGCCGGGGCTTTGCGCTTTGGCGTGCGCTCCTCCTCGGGTCCCCGGCACCCGGGTGCCTTGCGCGCGTGCAACTCTTCTTTGCAGCCAGTTTGCAGCCTCTGTTCTAGAGTGTCCCCGGAGCGGGATTGGGGAGGCGGGGAGGAGGCAGCTGCCCGGAGCGGGAAGGGGTGGAGCCGAGCCTCTTGGGGCTTTGGGGAGAGCTTTTCTCAGGTGCTTACTCTGGGGGCTCGCAGCTGATGTCGTGACGGGTGGCGCAGCTAGAGCGCATCCCCAAATCCTGAATTCCTCGCCTGCCTGTTGCTGGAAAAGGCAGCTTTCTTAGCTGGAGGGGTGCGCCGAGCCCTCCCTCTCCCGCCCGGGCTTCGAGCCAGGCTGGAGGTGAGCGAGAGGGGGAGGGACGGCGGCTCCCGCCTGAGCTGGGCGTTGGCAGGGGCCGGGGGCGACGTGGGTCGCCTCGCGCCTACCGGGGTGACGGGATCGCAGGTGGCAGAGACGAGGGATTGAGGATTCCCAGAGTGGAAGCGCCCCAGACTTGTTACATCTCCAGGAATGGGACCGCGTTCAGGTGGGAAGAGCGCCCCTGCACCTCTGTGTTTTTCTCTGGAAATGCCTCAGAGCTGGGCGCTCCCGGGTCCACGCTGCCCTTGTATGGCCCGCAACGATGTCGCGTGTTTCTCTTGGCTCCTTGGTCCCGGGTCGCAGCCGCTGTCCGGCAGGGGAAGGCTAGGCAATAGCCAGCTCCTCGCCTCATGCTCAGTGCCAACAGCGTCCCTGGGGTACCCCCGGCTGCTGCCTTCCAAGCTGACCATATTTCTGGAGAAAAGGTTAAATCGGGCTCCACAGCTGCAGCAGGTCCAGCCCCCCTACCCCACCCCACCCCAGCCCTGCTCTTCTAGCTCTGGAGAAACAGAGTCAGGGATCTGAGGCTCCTGCTCTGGGTTGAAGACCTCTCCATCTGCCCTGCTTGTTTGGGAGCCAGCCCAGGGCAACAACCCAGGCATCCCGGAGTCCAGCCAGATGGTATCGAGTGACATCACCTTCTCACAGGGCGGGCAGCACGCTGGCACCGCTGACGTCACTCCTGCCCACGGCCTGGCCCTTGCCCTGACCGTTGGGGGAGACTCTGACCCCTCCATATTCACAAGGCTCCCAGGATGGGGTCCCCCAAGTGTGCAGGATGTTCATGGAGGTGCCACTTAGGGAGGATGAGATGGGAGCTTCTGGCCAGAGTTGGCCCACTGGGTCTTGTGGGGGATTTAGGGAAGGAGTTTTTGGGGGGCAAAGGGTAGAGTAGTGAAGTCTTCCCCTGGGTGTGGGGACACAAAGGGGCCTGTGTGCCCCAGCTTGGCACATGCCTTGCATTCCCACACTCTGAGCTCACTCAGAGAGGAGGGGCATGTAAGGAAAGGGGCCTTCCTCTTGGCCCAGGGCCTGGGTTGCCCCTCTGCTAGTCTCATCTGGGAGGTGCCTGGGGTTCAGGGTCTCTACTCCAATGACCAGAGGTGACCATCCCCAACTCCTTGAACTGGGAGCGGGCTGGCTCCAGGCTGGGGGCAGAGAGTGGTTGAGGGCTAGGAGAGGACAGGGCCCATTCAGACCCTCGATGTGGCAGCATGAACAGCTGCAGTGAGCGGCTGTGAGGGGAGGGCATGGAGAGCAGCTGGAGCTGACACAACTGCTGGGGGTGTTCCTCTCTCACCCCCAGGTGTGCCTGGAGAGGCGGAGCAGCCCGAGCCTGAGCTGGTAGAGGTGGAAGTAGGCGGCACGGCCCTTCTGAAGTGTGGCCCCTCCCATTCCCAGGGCAACTTCGGCCATGTGGACTGGTTTTCTGTGAGTGCTTGAGCCCCAGAGAGGGCAGCAGGGGCAGGAGGCTCTACTGGCCGTGTAGCCCCAGGACGCTCATCTCCTCTCTGCCCCTTCCCTTAGGTCCACAAAGAGAAGCCCACCCTCATCTTCCGTGTGCACCAGGGCCTGGGCCAGAGCCAGCCTGGGGAGTACCAGCACCGGCTCAGCCTCCAGGACAAAGGGACTACTCTGGCCCTGGCACATATCACCCCCCATGACGAGCGCATCTTCCTGTGCCAGGGCAAGCGTCCTCAGTCCCAGGAGCACCGCATCCAGCTCCGTGTGTACAGTGAGTGCCCCCATCTGTTCTGTGGGCACTGTGGGTCTTGGGAAGTGGTGGTGCCATGGCCCTCCTTATTTCTCTCCCTTGTAGAAGCTCCGGAGGAGCCAAGCATCCAGGTCAATGCCGTGGGCATTTCTGTGAACAGTCAGGAGCCCGAGGAGGTGAGATTTGCTGGGGTGGTCAGGTGGTAAGCAGGCGCAAAGGCGGGGCTCGGTGGGGTCTGAGGCGGGGAGACTGGCACCCTGTTTTCCTTAGGTTGCCACCTGTGTGGGGAGGAACGGGTACCCCGTTCCTCAGGTCATCTGGTACAAGAATGGCCGGCCCCTCAAGGAGGAGAAGAACCGTGAGTAGCCCTCTTAGCCCTTAAAAGCCATGCTTATGGTACCACACAGGGATCACCTTGCATTTTATTTTACTTTATTTTTTTTAAGTACACAAGTGATGCTTGAAAATATTTTCATAAGAATTTAAACTGTATAGGGCCTGGCCCGGTGGCACAGCAGTTAAGTGCACACGTTCCGCTTTGGCGGCCTGGGGTTCACTGGTTTGGATCCCGGGTGCGGACATGGCACCACTTGGCAAGCCATGCTGGGGTAGGCGTCCCACATATAAAGTAGAGGAAGACGGGCAGGGATGTTAGCCCAGGGCCAGTCTTCCTCAGCAAAAAAAAAAAAAAGGGGGGGGGGGATTGGCAGTAGTTAGCTCAGGGCTAATCTTCCTCAAAAAAAACAAAAAAGAATTTAAACTGTATAGAAAATCTATAAGGACAATTTCCTTCCTGCTCCAGACCCCCTCACAGAAGTCATCTCTGCTTGGAAGTAGTGTGTTTTCTCTCAAGTCTATTTCTGTTTACTTACTCATGCACATATATCTTAGGATGTATAGACTTTTTTTTTGTTTTTTTACTAAATCAGTGGTTCTTAGCCAGGGGTGATTTTGCTCCTCCTCTGGGGCTATTTGGCAATGTCTGGAGACAGTTTTGGTTGTCACAAATGGAGGGGTGCTACTGGCATGGAGCAGGTAGGGACCAGCGATGCTGCTAAACATCCTGCAGTGCACAGGACAGCCCCACAACAGAGAATGATCTGGCCCCCAGTGTCAGCAGTGCGGGGGTTGAGAGACCTTGATCTAAATGGTAGTGTGTGGTATACGTTGCTATACAATTTCATTTTTCTTGTGACAGTGAGTCTTGGAAATCTTTCCAGGTCAGTCTGTCTAGAGCTGACTCTCTTGCCGACTGCCTAATATTCTCTATGATGTAGATAATGTAGTTTAGTTAATTGCTCATTCCCCTGTTAGTGGACGTCAAGTGTTCTCTCATTTCTTTTTATCACTGCAGCATCATTTGCACACATCCTTGTGCATGTTCCCATGTCTAAGTGTTTATCCAGGTGTTATAATGAGCGTTATAATGAGCACTCAAACTGTCAGATTCAAGGGTCACAGCTTGCATTTGTACCTGGCCTTCCAAAGGGGGCAAGGGGTCCCTTAGGCGCTCCCCTGCCAACCCCCAAGGAGACCAAGGGGGTGGAGTTGGAGGCAGGGCTGAGGCTGAGCCCCGTCCCCTTCCTCCCCGCTCAGGAGTCCACATTCAGTCGTCCCAGATCGTGGAGTCGAGTGGCTTGTACACCTTGCAGAGCGTTCTGAAGGCACAGCTGGTTAAAGAAGACAAAGATGCCCAGTTTTACTGTGAGCTCAACTACCGGCTGCCCAGCGGGAACCACATGAAGGAATCTAAGGAGGTCACTGTCCCTGTTTTCTGTGAGTACTGACCCACCCCACTGGGGCGAGGTCCGGCGGAAACTTCTGCTAGCTCCTCTCACCCAGCACAGGGGCAGCTCTTGGGCTGAGAGCTACCCCCTTTGCCTGTGCAGACCCTGCAGAGAAAGTGTGGTTGGAGGTGGAGCCCGTGGGAATGCTGAAGGAGGGGGACCGTGTGGAAATCAGGTGTTTGGCTGATGGCAACCCCCCACCCCACTTCAGCATCAGCAAGCAGGTACAGAGGGCTCCGTGCTGGGGCAGACAGGGATGCAGAAGTAGCTGGAGGTACCCTCTGCTCACTCCTTCATCTTTTCCCAGAACCTCAGCACCAGGGAGATGGAGGAAGAGACAACGGATGACAATGGGATCCTGGTTTTGGAGCCCGCCCAGAAGGAGCACAGTGGGGTCTATGAATGCCACGGCCTGGACTTGGAAACCACAACATCGCTGCAGAGCGACCAACAGGAGCTGCTGGTGAACTGTGAGGGGCTGGGGACTCAGGACATGGGGGCCAGGCTGGGGCAAGAGGGAGCCCTGTGGAATTCCCTTGTAGGCTGACACTACTGCTGTGTCCCCAGACGTGTCTGATGTCCGAGTGAGACCTGCAGCCCCTGAGAGCCAGGAGGGCAGCAGTCTCACCCTGACCTGTGAGGCAGAGAGCAACCAGGCCATTGAGTTCCAGTGGCTGAGAGAAAAGGTACTCAGGTGGGCCTGGGGTGAGGGGCAAGGGGCTGTGGGGAGCAGAGGGCTGGGAGTGACCCTCTGACTCTTCTGTCACCCCAGACAGGCAAGCTGCTGCAAAAGGGGCCTGTGCTCCAATTATACAACCTGAAACGGGAGGAAGGGGGAGGCTACCGCTGTGTGGCGTCTGTGCCCAGTGTACCCGGGCTGAACCGCACACAGCTGGTCAACGTAGCCGTTTTTGGTGAGGAGGCCTTCTGGGCAGAGATCGGGTAGCCCCTTGAAGCCACCCCAAGTTGGGTAGTTTACAACTTTTTGAGGACAAAAAGTCAGCTGCTGTCCTGGAGTGCCCTGGTGGGGAGGGGGAAGCAGACTAGCAGAGTTGGCTGCCTCATCCTTCTCCCAACCTCCCCAAGGGTCCCCGTGGATGACAGTAAAGGAGAGGAAGGTGTGGGTGAAAGAGAACACGGTGCTGAATCTGTCTTGTGAAGCATCAGGACATCCTCGGCCCACCATCTCCTGGAATGTTGATGGCATGGTGAGCAGGCTCCTCTCTTCTTGCCGTGCTCTCATTAATCCCTGCCCAGGCTTTGCCGCCGTGACCGGACATCCTCCCTGCCCCCTGAGCTGCACCTCCTTCCTTGTAGGCAAGTGAACAAGACCAGGATCCACAGAGTGTCCTGAGCATCCTGAATGTCCTTGTGACCCCAGAGCTGTTGGAGACAGGTGCTGAATGTGTGGCCTCCAACTCCCTGGGCAAAAACACCACCATCATTTTCCTGGAGCTGGGTAAGGGCCTCGTCCTGCAGAGCGTGGCAGGGGCATGCCCAGGTGTGGGAATTAACTTGTGCTTGTCCTGACCCACCTCCCAATCCATTTAACTACTCTCACACCAGACTCCAACAGAACCACTGGCCTCAGCACCTCCACTGTCAGTCCTCATGCCAAAGCCAACAGCACCTCCACAGGTAAGCCGTGCCTGGCACGAGAACAGGGCTGTGCCAGGGCATCTTCATTCTTCCCTGACCCTCCCTGGGGAGCCCTGTCAAGAAAGGTGAGCAGTGGCCTATCTTCTATCAGCCCTGGGCTTGGTGGGGCAGCGATGGAAATGCGGCAGCCTGGGGCACAGAGTGACTAGGAGTGTCTTTGTGAGACAGAGAAAAAGCTGCCAGAGCCTGAAAGCAAGGGTGTGGTCATCGTGGCTGTGACTGTGTGCATCCTGGTCCTGGCTGTGCTGGGTGCTGTCCTCTATTTCTTCTACAAGAAGGGCAAGCTGCCGTGTGGGCGCTCAGGCAAACAAGAGATGTAAGCACAGTACCTAGTGCTCTGCGGCCCCACCCGGTCTCACGCTCCCCAGCTTGCTGCCTCCTCAGGATGTTCCCTGCCTGCCCCAGTGCCCACTCGCCCCTAGGAGCAGGCGTGGGACGCTGGGTCTGAATGCTCCCTGCTTTCCTGCCCACTACCCAGCTTCTACCACCCACACCTTCTCCCTTTCATTCATTACCTGTGTTCCTTCCCTGAGCTGGCCCCAGAGCACCTAAGAGCCCCATCACCCAGTCCAACATCCTTCCCAACGGCCCTCCCCTGCCCTTGCCCCAGAGTTGCCAACCTCTTGCCTCCCTCCCTCCTCCCAGCACGCTGCCCCCGTCTCCTAAGAGTGAATTTGTAGTTGAAGTTAAGTCAGATAAACTCCCAGAAGAGATGGGCCTCCTACAGGGCAGCAACGGTGACAAGAGGGCTCCAGGAGACCAGGTAGGAGGCAGGTCCTGTGGTCAGTGCCTGAAACATTTTCAGGGATTGGGAGCAACAGGGGCTAATGGTTCTTGTCCTCTCCAAACACTAACTCTTTCTATCCTTCTCCTCCTCTGTTGGAGAGTGGGAGCAGGCCCCATCTTGCCTTCCTAACAGTACTCACAGACGGTAGAGCCAGGCAAGTGGCTGAGGGACCCTGGAGAGAGGGTAGCTCCCAAGACTGAGAGCAAAAACCCTGTCCCAGCACCATCACCTCCTCCTGAACTGGGCCTGTGGCTCAGGTCACTAGGTGTGAAGGGCGGCCCGGGCCTATGCGGGGGCCCACTCGCTCCTTCCCTGCCCTGCCATACCGCCCTTGCTGCTTCCCTCTAGGCTGCTGCACCTCGTTCATCAGCTTCTGCTTCTGTCCCTCCTCCCTTTTAGTGCTCACACCTTGAACTCCCGTCACTATGTCCACATTCCTCTTACTTCTCCTCTTCCCGTTTCTAGGGAGAGAAATACATCGATCTGAGGCACTAGCCCACTGAATCACACCAAGCCCCCTTCCTGCCTGGAACATGTCCTGTTCCCTGCTCACCCTCCCCCATCCCCAGGACTCAGGATGGTCACCAAAGCCTCTAAAGTGGACTACAGAGAAGACCCCTGCTCCAGCTCACCTGCAGAGCCCATTTCAGAGGGCAGATGGGCCAGGGCCAGAGCTGTCCTGAGAAGGAGCTCAAGTGGCCCTGGAGGCCCCCTCTTCAGGGACCAGTCCACCACCCTCTCAATTTGTTGAGTGATGCTCATCCCAAGGATGGGGGCCTCAGTCCCCCAGAAGTGGGTAGGAGAGTTCCTCTTTACCCATGTCATGGCTGTAAATACCCGTCTTCAACCAGCAGCTGAATTAGGTAGCCTATTTATCTTGAGCTGATTTCCTGCCCCAAAGGCTGGCTTCATAATTCAGGTGTATCACTGAAGTGAGGATGCACTGAGCCGAAGCCCCTCTCCATTGGTGAAGTATGTTGTTCACACTGGTGCTGGAGAGTACCCCAGCATTATCTAGAAGCAGTTGACTGCCTGCCTCTCAAGTCCTTTTTGTGACACTTCCTCCTCTGGGCAGAAGCCAGGAATTCGTGTCATTCCTTAAAAGATATGCTGGGTATATCTCATTCTACCTGCAGTGAGGAAGCTGACACTGTTTTCCAGAGTTAAGACCATTGAGCCCAACCCCCCTGCATTCACTTAGCTCCCACTGCCCTCAAGGGATCATGTAAGACTGAAAGGTGGGGGTACGGGACAGAGATGAGGTCCAGACTGTCCTTTATGGGGATTACTGTTACAGTTATACTAGCACGAAAATTCTACAAACCGAGCTGATGGGCCTAGACCCTAGCAGAAGGGCCCTAATGGGAGAATGGTACTTAGGATGAGAAACGGGCCTGGCTAAAGCTTTGGGGTGTGTATGTGTTATCTGTGTGTGTGTGCGTGTGTGTGTGCGTGTGTGTGTGTGTGTGTGTGTGTGTGTATGGTTTTGTTAGGCTGTGTGTAAATTTGCAAACTGTTTCCTTTTTATATATATATATGAAAAATAAAGCTTAATTGTCCCAGAAATCGTACATTGCTTTTTATTCATCACGGATACCACAGCAGCCTGGGACCTCCAGAATTGGAACTGTACCGAAAGGAACATAAAACCCTTTGCAGCTGGGAGCAGAGACCAAGGGCTGCCTCTGCTTCTGAGCAAGCAGCTCAAGCTCTCCCGCAGAGGATAACCCCCTGCTTCTCAGCAGCAAGGCCGCCCTGCCTGAGACAGCTTGCAGGCCTGGCAGGCTGCTGGCAAGGAGCTCTCACCCTTTTTCTAGGCTTCCCTGTCACTCAGACTGGCCCTGGAGGTAAAAGCACAGACTTACTATGATGAATAAGTGGGCCTAGGCCCTATCACACCCTCACCCCAGCCAATGAGCAAGAACTCAAGTCTGCTACAACAAAAGAAACTTTATTTAAAAATATTTTTTTTTACAGACAGGGGTGCTTGAAAAAGCTTTTTAGTTAACTGTGTATGGAAATGAAAAAATTAATAAATAACATTAGTATAACAGACTTCTAAACATTAATACATTGGCAAAACAAAATGGACTTAAAATGAAAATGAATCTTAAAGCTCTGCTATTCTCTGTAAGAATATTTACCTTCTGTTTTTCTTATTCTTTACAGGTGAGAATGATTAAATACTGCTAATATAAATTTTTTTTTATATTAATGACACATTTTTAAAATAGTCCACAAAAATCTCATCTAAGTTTTCGTTTTGTTTTATTTTTAACACTGATATACAAATTGGGACTCTTCACTCTGGAGACAGCACAGAGTTCTCTCCAGCCCCACCCAGGCCAAGAATGTCAAGATCCTAAATAAGGAGGACTTTAAAAAGAATTGTCTCTATCTCCCAATTCTTTATTAGTTAAAGGCAGGGAAGAACTCAGAAAAGGAAAGAGAGAAGTAAAATCTCATTACATAGGAAACATTTTTTCTCTTTTTTCTGCCGAAACCTACAGTGGCCACAATACTGAGGACAGGCTTCTGGGACATGGTCCTTGCTAGTTTTCCCAGGGGAAAATCAGACCCTGCAGAGGGCACCAGCTGCTTAATGCTTTAAGTCTGAAGTCTTCAAAGGCAATGACAGCCCAGGGTGAAGGGAGAGGCAGGAGGTCTAGGCCCACACAGGCTCCAGCAAAAAGACAAGACAAACACAACCAACCAGCCTCCCCTCTCGGGAGAGCCCATCCGACACTTCTCCATGTGGTCGGGTCAGGAACAGGGTCAGGAGGCTGGGACGCTTGAAATGGTCCAGAGTATACCTGGAAATCAAGGAACATTCTGTCTTCTTGCAGAAGACAGAGCATTCAACTTGATAACTAAGACTGTGGAACCAACCCAATGATCCCAGGGTACAATGCTTATTTCTTGCAACTGAGCATCACAGCAGGGAGAAGGGACCACTGACATGCCACACCTGCGTGCCATCTCTCCAGCCACAGAGCTCGTCCTTCTTCCTCTCCCCGAGACTAGAGGGACTAATGACACTCAAGGTAGAGGAGCTAAGACTCTGGTATTTCCATATTAAGTCCTAAAATGCAGCCTGGGATACAGTGCTGCCTTAGAAAGGCACAAAATGTTTGGCTTTTTTTTTTTCAGTGTGCTAAAAATTGTTTTGTTTTGAATAAAGGAAAAAGATATATAAGGTTAAAAATTCCCAAGTCACCACAGCCAGAAAGCAAATGTAGGAGGTACCTCATAGCTGCCATGCCCCTACCACGTGTTTCAGCAGGAGGTCAAGGCCAAGACACTAAAACAATGCTGAGAAGGGTAGGTCAGGAGGCATCCAGTCTCATGGGCACTGTGCCCGCAGGCTTACTCACCCACACAGCAGAAGGAAGAAGCCAAGGAAGAGAAAACACGTGTTCTACAGACTCGTAAGTAGTTCTCTGCCTCTTCAGTTTCAAGACAGCCATAAGCATGGCTACCCTCACCCATAACGGTCAGAGGTAGGGAAGGAGGAGGAGGGAACTGACACACAGGGGACATTGACACATGTCAGAGTGCCGGCCTCAGGCATACAGTACATCCACTTCAGGGCCTGAGCATGGAGGCAGTGCAAGGCCTGAGGAGCTGCACATAGCATGTCTTGAGCAATACTCCTCTCTGGCCTCCCAATCTGGTTCAGAGGTGGAAGGAGAACTTGTGAGAGGTAAAGTGGAGGGTGCCACTCACATTCATTTTTGGGATTGAATCAAGAATATGGGGCTGGACAATCAGAACTCTGCTGATTTGATTGGCTGCCAAATCAGTAGGAGCTCTGAGGTTGGCCTTCAGCCTTCGCTCTGTGCAAACAGAGGGAGTGGTCAGTCACATTCTTCTCAAGCACTATACAAGGGAAGGGGCAGCGAGATTTCCAAACAGCTGTTAGTCCGTTAGTCAACAGCTGGCCTATCAGCACAGTGCTCTCCATCTGACCGGGAAGGAGCCTCCTGGCAGGGCTCCCTCTCCCCATCCCTGGTTCTCCGTCTCTTACTCTTGTGCTACTTTCTGGAACCAAGAAACACTTCCCTTTGAAACCAACCCAGATCTCCTAGGACACTGTGAAGGCACACGGCACTGCTGCCCTCTGCTCCTTAATTCTGGAGCCTTGAATAGAGTATCCAAGGCAAGGTCTGATGACCCACCCTTCATCACGTGCCTCAATATATATCTTTGGGTTATTAGGTTACTTCTGTGTATATCAAATGACTCCAGCAGTTTAAAAAAGTTACAAGTAATTATGAAATGCCTTAATAACACGGCACATGCTCTGGGACGAGATAGATAAGACCAAAAGATTCAGGCAAGCAGAAGCACAGTTTAAAAAAAAAAAAAATAAAGCCTTTAATATACAAAAGAAAGCAATTGGACAAGGAAGACAAAAGTATCCTGTCTAAAGAGCTCTCAGTAAAAACTCTATTCTAAACTGGAATCTACATCTAATTTATATCCTGGCAACTGTCCCAACTATTATATATTCTTACTGGCTACGACAAAGTCATTTCTGAGGTACCTAGGAGGCCTGCCTAAGAATATTACTGCAGAGCTCCCTCCATACAGGAAAGACCAAAGGAAAGGGTGAGGAAGAGGGTTCGAGGGACACAGGCCATGCGTGGGCCCACAGAATGAACGTATTTTCAGCGCTAAAACCTGAAGAGAGCTCAGAAGTTCATGGGTGGCTACAGTGGGATTTGTGATCTGCTCTCTAAATAATATGAAAGAAGGTTAAAAACCTGAGATTGAATAAAGGCTAAGAAATGTCACCTAAGAACAGACTAGCTCCGGAACAAGAGAAACTGGTCCTAAAGAGGGAGGAAAGAAATCTTGGATGCCAAGACTCATAAAGGGAAGAAAAACAGGAAACAAAGACAGTAACCTGAATTAAGTTAAACCTAAGAATTTCCTCCACATCTCACAGTCCCATGCCTGCATTTCCACTCTCAAAAAAGCAGCACGACAGCAGTTTTATTACTAAAGTATTTTTAGGGTGTCTATTCTGTCCATCTCCTCTCTTCTGAGAACCCTCCCGAGGGACCAGGCTTCTGTTGCTCTGTGTGGCAAGCCTGACCGGTCAGGGGTAGATACGCCATCAATGTGCTGGGCTGATCGTACTCCTTGAGAATATGAACGAAGAGGCATCGGGAATCTGTTAACAGTGGTCTCTAGAGCTGGGCGGTTGTGTGGACTCGAGGACTGGGGTGTCTATTTTGGGGCTTTGCAAGCCGATAAACAGACGGACAAGCAGGAGAAAGGACGAGGTGCAAAGTTTCACAGTTCCAGCTCCATGCAAGAATCAGCTGTACTTATTATACTGGGTTCTGTGAAATACTTTGCATTCTTATGACTTCCTCCTTTCTTCTTAGCTTAAATACTTGTGTTTCTTGCATCCGAAGGATTCCTAAACAAGACAGTCAAAGATACAACCTTGACCTTCTTCCACTATTCACCCTCCATGCATTAAATGGCTATATGCATTTCTAAAGAAAGACTGCTAATACAGATTGAGATCAGAGTAGTGACAGTAATGCTTTCTGCTGAGTCAGAATACTTTAAATTGAACTTCCAAAGCCTGAAAGTCTAAGAGAATAATGATGTGTTGATTTTGATACTAAGTTCTAGGGTCGCTAAGCTCTCTAAGCTCCCTGACATTTCTGAGAACTGAGTTAAATCTATTTTACCGCCTGGCTCCTGAGAGACCAAACAACTGGCTGAAGATTAGGACCCAGAGACAGGTGCCCATCCCTCTCCCACACCTTCAGCTCTCACAAGACATAGGATTAGCTGCAAAGGTTGTCGAACGATTAGAAATGAAGTTGCAAATAGAATGGGAGATCGTGACAGGACCTAGAAAGGTTAGAAGGAAACTTCCCAACAAGGGGAATTAGGGACACAAGCAGCTCAGTAAAAAGATCAAGGAAGGCACTAGATTGGAAAAGGGACTGTGGGCAGATGTTTGCTTAAACATTTAACTGCCCTATCATGAAACTCTGAGTCAATATAACCCTCAAGCCACCAAAGAGATTCCACTGAAATACATAAAAATGGTGGGTATCCATAAGACTTATACCAAGGAACCTCACAGACATTATCAAAGCTATGGGAAGACAAGAGGGGTTACTGAGAGAGTCTTGAACTGATTTTACATGGAACAGCTCTATAAGGAAATATATGTCTACATAAAAGAGCTATAAACAAAAATTGCACAACCTTACTGGAAAGGGCTATTTTAGGGCCAAATGCAAGTGCTATCAGCCCAAGTACAATCCCCCAACGTCAGTGAATCACCACAAGGTGGCAAAGAACACAGAGCTGACACTTCTAGCACATGGCAATCACTCATAAACATTTGCTGAATGAACAAACGAGCTGTTAACACAGCCAGGCCAATGGTCAGAATACTGCTATCCCATGGGCAGTGGTCATTGCAGAGGAAGAAAGGCCAACAGCAAGAAGGGGGACTTATAACCAGTTTGGGAAGAAGGTCTATAACCCTCTGACTGTCATGATGTGAGGTAGGAGAATATCCCGCATTAACACCACTGCTGATCACCCACAAAAAGGTCTAGATCTTGTTAATGGTGTCTCAAAGGGAACATATAGCTGGTCCCTATTTTGCAAATAAATTTACAAAAATTCATTTGTAAGTTTGCTGTTTGGACCATAAAATATATTTTACTTTTCTATAGAGGAAATAAATATTTTAAGTACAAAGAATAGTGACCCCCCCCCCCCATCTCCAAAACAACTTTTTAAATCCACAAAACAGCTAAATGATACTATTAGTACTGGCCCACATCCTGGGCCGGGGTGTTGTCTGTATCAGAAGAGAGAGAATAGAAGAATGGCAGAATATGCAGGGTAGGGCTGGGGAAGAGAACGGCCATCCACAGGTGCAGGTCACTGCTGACATAAATATTAACAGATAAATGCTGAGACAACAAGCTGCCCAATCTATTATTTACCTAAAGGGAGGTATATCACAGAGCCACAGGGTCTTTCCACGTTGAGAATGCCCTACTTTAATGGAAGGAGTATGACAAGGGGCAGCTGATCAAGTATTGCAAAGCAGCCACCCAGCAACAAGGCAGCTACAGAACCCAGGAAAGATACAGGAAAAGCAGAAGATTGGGTTGAATAGAACAGCCTAATGCATTTGAGGAAAAGGAAAATACCAAAGTGGTTTTTACCTTATCCACCTGATTGTTAACAGAAGAGGAACCATTTGTAATTAGGAGGGGGAAAGGAGATGGGTTTGCCCAAAATGGCAAAACTCAAAGCCCACTTTGTGAAAGGGCAATTTTAGTTAAATTCAGAGCACAGCCAAAGAACTAAAAATTGCCACATAAATGGAGGATGAAGAACAAGTTACTGGTGTCTCAGTCAAAGGAACTTTAAGAAACTGAAGTTTTGGAAATATCCTCAAAACAAGAGCCATGTGAAAACTTTCCTGAGGCTCGCCTGACAATCTCAGGCATGGACCCAGGTGTGCCCTCAGAGCACCCAGCCAAAGGGAAACCCCTCCCAGAAAGGTCTAAAACCTGGAAAGCCTGCAGATACACTGCCAACCAAGCTAGCAACCAAGCCAATCAACAGTGCACGTGTTCAACACAGGGATCTGGCGCCCCAGTTTCAGGGCTGACCCGCCGAGATACACAGGAGCTCACTTAGGAAAAGGAAGAATGAACTTGGCCTTAGCCTATATAAGTAAGGGCATAATCTCCAAAGACGACGACTTTGGATGCACTGAAAAGGAGAAGACATGCAGAACCTGTGCTTTTGTTCTCTGGACAGATCTTCAGTCTACAGGCAATAAATACAGAGGACAGGGACAAGCTCCAGTGTGGACAGGCACGGAAACTGCTGCCATTTTTTTTCTATTTCTCTGTCTAGGCCTTCAACAGCTAAACAAAATGCAAAGTAAATGTTACCACAAACAAAAGGAGAGGCTGGGTTACTGCTTCCTACTCACTGCCACTTTCCCTGCCCTTCCACCCCAATTCAGGACCTCCCGCACCTGACGGTGGGCTGTGTTGTTTTCTGCCATGGAGAGGAGACGCTGGGTAACCATGGCAAATCAACAAGAAGTTCTGGACTGTCTCCTCTGGGAACGTAAATGGCTCTGAGGCAAGAGATGAAACTAAAAGATCTATGAGTAGCTGAAAGCCAAGAGAAGAGTTAGAAAAAGTTTCAGTTCCAGAGATGACAAGAGGGGAAAGAAAACAGATCTGAGGAGAGTCATTTCTGTCTGGATCTAAAGACAGAAGCATGGTTTAGATTTGGAGGAGAGTAGATTGATCAAAGAGCAGGCTTGTTTCTGACAAGGAGGAAGGCTACACCCTGCTAGGGATGTCAGCAAGCCTTGAGACAGAGAACTAACTGAACTCGAGGGGTCGTTTAGCAGTATCTACAGGAACTGGCTAACGGCACTCCACGCTGGACTCTGAATCTTCTTTATGAAACCGCAATTACACAAACTGCTGGGCTCTTCACATATTGTCTCTGACTATTGTAAAGTCATTTATGACACTAACTGATGTCTCATTACTGTGGAGAACACAGTCAGTAAAGAGTATGCAGGACCTCAGGTGAAGAGGAAAGGGGAAGGAGATGCTACATTCCCAAAGCCATAGGCACAAGAGAAAACCCAGTCATCAGTGGCACCATGTGGATTGGTGCTAATTATCAGCAAAATGCTGTGCTACCATGGGTGGTAGCCTCATTCCTTAAAGGGCAAAGAAAAAAATCATTTTTTAAAATATAACCTGGCTCATGTTCAAAGGGAGACACCAATATAAGCTGGAATTAATTCACTGGGAAGAAAAACTGAATACTTAAATCCTTATTCTCTATTTTGTACATTTTATGTTTAACAAGCTAAAGAGCATGTGAATGAAGCTTCCTCAAAGCTTCATGGTATTTGGGCCAGAAAGCCATGCTGGAAACAAATATTCTTCCCTTCCCATTAAATAGAAAAACTCATGACTACATTAGAACACATACCTGGCACCAAGGCAACTGACTCCCACAGGGAGGGCATGGAATGTATTTGAAGGCCTCTATCTCAGATCAGTCATTAAGTAATTAGGATAATTAAAACATCTTATTTGCACAGATTCAATGTTCCTATAGAAACAGTGCTTTGGAGTGACCAGTGTTAGCTGCTAGGATCAAACGGGACTATACTGACACAGCAACAGTACTTTTTTCCCCCACCTATCTACCAAACAAACCAACACCAGCACACTATTAAAGAACATCCTATAAGCCACTAGAGTTCAGTAAGGCTGGTCATAGCAAGCCCACTGCCAATGACAGACACCAAGGAGAAGGAAGAAGGAGGAGACAGGGGAAAGGACAGAGGGACAGTGTTCTAAAAATACGAGACTTTAGCTATGCACATGATAATCCAAGCCAAAGGGGAGTGTGGGGTTGGGTATAATACCACAGTAGATGGAAATCTTTAAAAGATTCCTTCCTAAACCTCTTGTGCTAATTCCCTACCTGGGATTAACACAGACAGCAGGTTAATCTTATAATCACAAGACATACACACAACCACAGACAGACAGACACACACACACATGACCACATTCTTAACCCAGGAAAGTCTTAAGTCCTCAATTAGGATTTACAGCACAATACTTCTACTGCTTTCTGGACTGTTCCCCAGGTAGACTACCATTTAATAAAAATCCACTCTCTCTAAGCAGGGACTGAAGGACACCTTCAAACGCACTCTCAAAACAAATAAAATAATAAAACACACTAGCTGCTCCAATTTTCATTCCACTGCGTTGAAATCTTGGAACCACAGATGTGATATCCTACAGACAGGGTAAGACTTCATTGTGAAGTCTCCAAAGGAACCTCTGCCCCTTTAGGTGCTACTCAAGTAAGAGCTCCCAGCTCATGGGTCCTCTAAAGCTGCAGCAGGCAGGTGATCTGCTAGGTGGCTACATGGGCAGGAGAAGAAATAGAAACGAACTCCCGGAGGATATTCTTGGCCATTTCAATGTTGTTGTGGGCAATGACCAAAGCTTTCTGAATGTCCTGGTAGGAGTATCCCTGACTCATGAGGTTCTCGATCTCACTGGAGAGCTGTGGCGAGGCGGCGGCAGCAGAAGCAGCAGCAGCACCCCCTTGCTGACAGCTACCCGTAGCTTTTCGTTCAGAGTTGATTCTCCGAGGGAATGGTTTGGGAGGCCTTTCCGGAACTTGGGAACCCTCAGTGAAGTCTAGAAGAAATAGGAAAGAAAATACCTGCAAATCTGGGGGAAAATTTTCATTTAATGGCAGTAATAACAACAACAGTGTGGTAATATCAAGATATCACTGCCCTATTGCCATCTGGGTACGTGTGCTCTTCAGCTACAAGGCTGGTTTCACGGGTTCAAGGGTTTTAGCAGACAGCGCCCTCCTCCTCACAGCAGAAGAGCCCTTCTAAATATACCGTGCACCTGTTCTACCAACAATAACCACTGCTGCCATAAGCACAGAACATCTGCATCTGCATCATGCTTTATGCTTCGCAACAATTTTTCACACACATTATTGCCTGGATTATCTTTTTAAAATTTCTGAGGGACCAGAGAAGACACTAAACTCCTCCTTTTACAAATAAGGGAACAGAAATAAGCCTGAGCTGCAGTGGAGAAGCTTTAAACAAAGCTGGTGGGTGGGGACCACCGCCTGTTTGGGCAACTGGATGCTGTCTATCTTTTTCACCAGCTGTCCTGAAGGCTGTCTTCAATTTCCAAAGTGACAGTGACTGGGGTTGCTGCCTCCTCAGGCGGCCACAAATGCAAGAAGAGCAGCCCTTGACAGTCAAGGCCCAAATGTGTGCTGGCCCCAGGCCCATTCAGAGTGCTTTCCAGAGTCATCACACCTCCTTTCCAATGGGATGGGGCCTAGAAGTTAGGAATGTGTGGTCTGAACCATCAAGCTTAACTGCCACTGTCACAAGGCACACTCAGAAGAACCAGATATCCTATCTACCACCAGCACAGGAGGAGCCATGGTTTAAGGAACAACATCATTTCCAAGTCTGGCAAAATCCTGAAGAGTCTGGCTATAGTTTAACTTCCTAATTCGAGAACTAGGACTACTTTCCACCTGTTTATACAGAAGTTCCAGTCCACTACTTCTACCTCCTGACTTGTCGTCACTCGGGCAGTCACTTCTGTTTCAGGATAAACTAGGAGCCATACAGCAATTTAGTACAAACCCAAGGTAGCCTGGGGACTCACTTGTTGTGGGATCACATTCTAGAGACAACCAGCTGAAGGAGGAGCTGGCATTAGAGATATCGGAGAGAGTTCGGCGGGCCAGCACTGCCGGTACAGGTGGCTTCGGGACATCGTACCCATCGTCCTCATTTTCCGATTCCTCAGGGCCAGTGTTGGCATGGGCTGCAGCCAAATTCCCCTCACCTAGAGAAAAGTTTGTGCAGTCACCTTCTTCTAACATACTTCATCATCTAACACATTTCAATATAGGGGCATCCATTCATTCATGCATGTATAGAATCAGTTACCGACTATGTACCATGGGCCAAACACCACGTGAGGCCCTGTGGGTAGAGACGAAAGAAACGGAAAATAAAATCTGCACCAATCCTGCTCTACTTTTCTGAACATGTCAAAAGCTACCCTTGTCAAGGTGAACAGCCACTGATGCCAAAGACTCAAGTGCCATTTTATAGCATTCATTCAATATTTCTATCTGCATTTCACCTTAGAAGGTCAGCCAAAGGGCCCTGGGTGCGCTGCCTTCTTGAACTTTCAATTTGGTAAGCTAGTTAACATGGGAAGTGAATATTCACCACCCTACACACAAAAGAATTTCGTCAACGCTAAAAAGCAATGGGAATAACAAGGAGCTGCAAGCATTGCAGGTCCAGGTCATATTATACAAATGTCTCCAAGCCCTGGAAGGATGAAAAAGCACAAAAGGAGCTAGCTGTATGAACAGGAAATAAAAAAGAGGAGGGAGTTTTACTGCTCACAGATCAAAGATATTTTGCAAAGAAAATTGTTTAAAAGAATTTTCCACTTAGATCAAGCTGTCTCACTACCCAAATATTACAGGCCCATTCCTATGGCACATCAATGATTTTTAAAGTAGCAGAATGGCTACTCACCAAAGGTGCTGCTCTCTGTGACAGAGGGTGCCACCTGGGACTGAATATTATACATTGCTTCATATGTACAGCTATCAACCTGCTGGTCACAGTCACACGCTCTGAACCGGAAGGAAAGGGGCATAATGAGCTTCAGAAATAGAACTCTGTTATCTGCAAACTTATTATGATTTATCTAGTCACAACTACTCTAGACCCTGAGTCTATCAAGATAATACATTCTCCTTTTGCCAGTATCACTAATAAATGTCATAAGATTGACTCTTGGGACAAGTAACAGACATGAGTGTTTCTGAAATTACTGTGATGTTAAGGAAACATAAATGGACTTGGCTTCCAGCTGCAAGAGGCTTCAACACCAGGGCTTAGATACATCCTTCTGCTTTAATTATGCCTGGATAACGCTACGTGCAGGTAGCAAGTCAAGCAGGTGAGTGGTGTCAATAGAATTCCAAACAGGATTGCTGTGAACCTACCGTGAACTCTGGGCTGTCTCCAAAGGCCGTTTCACCTCTGGCTTTGGAAGCCCTACAGGCCTAGAGGAGGGAGTCATATACTCTGTGTCCTCCTCACTTTCACACTGCTCCCCAGATGGCAGCTTTGGCACAGGAAGAGGTCTGGAAGATGAAGAATAAAAAACAGAAAATGAAAACGAAAACAAAAAGAATTAACAAGCTGGAAAACTTTCAACTAGGAAATAAGTGGTTTCAAAACAGACCACAACTCAAATTTGACATAGCAAAATAGATGCCACCTAGGAAACTTAGTTCTCCTAGCGATGATAGTTAATTATTAAAAAATTCACTAATTTAAGATTTCACTTTCAGTTGACCAAAGGTGCTGCTATTTTGTTTGAGGTGTGTTACACTGGGATAGTACCTGATCCTAGTTATCTCAGTCCCCAGACAATTTACAGTCCCAGGCCAAGAGGTAGTATGCCAGTCTTTCTTTCACTAGACATGAAACAAGAAACAGCAAGTGGCTTTCTGACAATATGCTAGGAATGTATACCAAATCCCAATTCTAAAATCTACCTATGGTTTCAAAGAATATACAGCTTGTCAAAAGTCTTCTCACGTGTTATCTCATCATATAAACATTTTCCTCCTCCTCCTTTTTTACAAGAAAAATCTGAAATAAAAATAGATAAAGTGCCCTGGTAGTGCATCAACTCTGGGACTAGACCTCAGATCTTCTGACATCTGCATCAGAGATCTTGCCATATATAACTCTCACCCAGAAGCTTCTGAAACAAAACTTCTCCTGCCACCCTGACCCCTGAAACTAGACAAAGACAAAAACAGAAAAACCATGAATTATATAAGAAACACACATGTACATACATGCACACACACACAAAGTTGCTTCTGAGAATGTTAATGAGTGTTCTCCTTTTTATACTTCTTTGCACATTCTAATACTCTGTAAGGAGCACCTATTTGATTTGTCTGTTTACTTAATGTTTATTTTCCCTAACTATAAAAGCAATAGCTCCTTATTATAAAACACTTAAATGCTACAGAAACCTAACAGAGAATGACAGCCCCCTATAATCTCACTTGAGACTTTTTCTTACGTCTACAAATCACTTTTATTATTTGTGCATTGCATGCTGAAGTTCTGATGTGGAAGTGTACTGGTATCTACCATTTGCTTTGAAATGTGTCAAAAAAGTAAGATTGATGGATGGGTAGAAGTATAGATAGACAGACAAATGTGTGATAAAACAAGCATAATAAAATGCTAACAGTGGAATCCAGGTGGTAAGTAGATGGATATTCACTGTAAAAATCTTTCACCTTTACCATATGTTTGAAACTTCATAATAAAATGTTGGGTGGGGGGAGGGGGGAGGAATAATCCATAAAGATGAAGAAAAAATACCAAGTATTGGTGAAGATGAAGGGAAATGGGTACTTTCTTATATAGTTTTAGAAATAAGAAACTGGTAGAACTTCTCTGGGGTATAATTCAGCAAAAGTATTTAACCAAACTTGCATACCCTTGGACTCAGAATTCCATTTCTAAGAATTTTCCTTAAGGAAATAATCAAGTATATTCATTATAGTATTATTTATAAGGAAATAATCAAGAATACTCATTACAGCATTATTTATAATACTGAAAAAATAGGTAACAACCTAACTGCCAAATAATAGTGTACTGAGTAAATAAATTTTGAATCACACATACAGCAATATATCTGGTCAACTGTGTCCCTGAGTATCTCAGAGGTTCCAAGCAGGAGCTTCGGAGGCCCACTTCTGCTTCTACCACAGGTTTGTTCTTATCTATTTTACATACTGAGGTTCTACTTAAGTCAGTAGAATTCAGTCAGTACAGTAAGATTCCCTGTACAATATGATTTCATTCACACAAGAATGGCAAATGAACATAGATCAAATTGCTAACTACTGTCTTAGGTAGTTAAGATTATGGATAACTTTTATTTCTTCAGGGTCACTTATCTGTATTTTCTAAATATTCTTTAATTAACACATTACTTTCATAAAGAGAAACAGTCATTAAAGGGCCATCAAAAATTTTAATTATAATTCTTTTTGTTGATGATGTTAATAAAAATATAAAAATTGCAATTCCTTCTCATTAAGCATTTTGGCAATACATACTTTAAAACATTCACATTCTTTTGTTGTGGTAATTCTACTTTGGCTGTATCTCTGATTATGTACAAAGATGTTCACTGAAGCAAATTTATTACAATAAAAGTTCTTAACCAAATAAATATCCAACAATAAGGGGATGTGAGATATAGCTGCATTATATAATAATATGCAATCATTAAAAGCAAAGATTTTGAAGAACTTTCTAAATGATACAGAGAAATGCCCAAGATATAATGCTAAGTTTAAAAAAAGGGAGAATATAAAACCATAACTTGATCTAAAACATATACACATTTTACATGTCTACAGCCACAGACAAGTAGCAAGCACCATCTAACCATCTGCCTAGAACAGCTAGCTATAAAAGCAGGATAAAATAGAAAAGAAAGAAAATATTGGAGAACGACCAGGCAGCGAAGACTTGAGAGGCCAAGACTCCAGAGAGAATACAATTAAGTCCCATATTAGGGGCTCTGAACTTGGGGTTTAAAGGTAGTTTCAACAGGCTGGGGAGAGAAGAACTAAAATTTTGGGGGTACCATGATGGCCAAGACGTGAGGAACCAAAAGTCTAGAGAAGGGAACAGCAGAAAAGTAGGTTTGAAATTCTGCCTATAATTTTCCCTAGAGCTACTGCTAATCCCTAAATTGTGTCTGCATGCGGCTAGATCCTGGGAAACCAAGAAGAAAGCATCAATTGAGGAGTTGAACAGACTTTGGTTGTCTTGCCAAGCTGGAGAGACAAAGTTAGAGTTAACAGATATGGCCTTTAAAATAATTATAATTTATATATCCAATAAAAAAAAAAGGAAGATGGGGAAATTTATTAGAAAACTATAACCAATAAATTTTTTTAAAGGACATAGAAATTCTAGAACCTAAAAACATAGTATCTGAAAATACAAATCCAACAGATGGATTTAGGGCAGATTAGAAGCCACAAAAGAAAAGATTAGAGAACTGAAATACAGCAGAAACTATTCAGATTAAAGTAAAGACAGGAGAAAGAATGGAAAACACAGAAATGAGCATAAGGGCTATTAGGAGACATGGTGAAAAGGTTGAACATTCACATAAGCGGAGTCACAGAAGGACAGAAAGAAAGACTACACTATTCAGTCTATATTAAGAAATAGTGGCCAAGAATTTTCTAAAACTGATTAAAAACATCAAACTACAGAATCAATAAACTACAAACCTTAAGAAGGATAAATATAAAGAAAACTACATAGGAGCATTATAGTAAAACTGATGGGATCCAAAGACAAAGAGGTCTTATAAGTAGTCATAAAAGAAACATTACCTTTAAAGAAGCAACATTAAACCTCAGAGCTAATTTTTCACCAGAAACAATGGAAGCCAGAAGGAAGTGGAATGGTATTTTTAAAGTGTTAAAATAGTTCCAGTTCAGAATACTATACTCAGTAACAGTAGCTAAAAAAAAAAATGCAAGCGAAATAAAAGATATTTCCAGCGAAATAAAATTTGGGAGACTCCACTGATAAAAGATACACCAAGACACACACACACACACGCACACATGCACACAGAGTCTCTCTAAAGGAAGTTCTTTGGGCAGAAGGAAAAAGACTCCAGATGGAAGCACAGCAAAGCAGGAAGCAATATTGAGAGAGTAAATATGTGGGAAATTTAAATGTCCAGGAAGTGTTAAGAGACACTGATTCAAGGCAAACTCTACTAAGTGAAGGGTGAATGTTGAAATCCCTAGGATAACTACTGAAAGAATAACAGAAGGGGTGAAATTGTATAATAAAAAATACTTTAATCCATAAGAAAGCAAGCAAGAAAATATAAAAAAATGAATAATGAAAAGATGGGGAAAAGAACAGGAACAAATATTCCAATTACTGTAAGATAAAGAATGCTAGACTGGATTTAAGATAAAAAGTAACATGTATGTACTATCTACGAAAAAACATACCTTTTTTTTGAGGTGCACATCATAGAAACATACCTTAAATATAAGAACACAGAAAAGTTGAAAGTAAAAGGATGGAAAAAGTTCATGCAAACACTAACTAAAAGAGAGCTGATATAGGCATTTTAATATAAGACAAAGCATACTTAAGGGAAGCAAGTTGAAGTAGAGAGTGAATGGAATAATAAAAACAATTCTCATTTAGTAGTAATAATTCTAAATTTCTATGTATTCTAATTACATAGGCTAAATACATATACAACACAAATGAACAGAACTAAAAGGAAAAAAGAGAGATCCACAATCATAAGGGAAGACTTAAAATACTCCTCTTAGTATCTAACAGAACAGGTAGATAAAAAAATATGAGCAGGGAGATAGAAGATTTGAAAACAATTACCAAACTTGACCTCACTGACATATATAGACTGTTATACCAACAATGCAGAATACACATTCATATCAAATGAAGGTGGTACATATTACTGGAATTTACCATAAACTACTCAATAAAGAAGGTCTCAACAAATGTCAGAAGTTGAAATCACAGAGTATGGTTTCTGACCACACTGGAATGAAGTTAGAAAGCAGTAACAGAAAGACAACTAGATAATCTTCCAATGTTTGAAAATCAGGCAACACATAAATAACTGATGAATCAAAGAAGAAATCACAAATGGGAAAAGCATGTATTTCGAAGTGAACAACAATGAATATACGACATATCAAAATTTGTGGAATGGAGCAAAAGCATCTGGTATGGACCAAATGTTTCTGTCCTCCCAAAATTCTCATGCTGAAGCCCTAATACCCAGTGTGGCTATATTTGGAGATGGGGCCTCTGAGGAAGTAATTAAGGTTGGATGAGCTCATAAGGATGGGATCCTGATCCAACAGGATTGGTGTCCTTATAAGAAGAGATACCAGAGAGCTTGCTGCCGTTCTTCTCTGTGTGTGTGCACATATCAAAGAAGGGCCATGTGAGGACACAGGGAGAAGGCCATGCAAGCCTGCAAGCCAGTAAGAGATTCCTCACCAGAAACTGACTATGCCGACAACCTAAGCTTGGATCATTCTTCTCAAGTGCACAAGGCACATTTCCAGTAGACGCTATGTTAGGCCACAATTTAAGTCTCAATAGATTTAAAAAGACAGTTACCATACAAAGTATCTTCTCTGACCACAATGAAATGAAGTCAGAAATCAGTAACAAAAGTAAAACTGAAAATTCACAAAATTGTGGACATTAAACAATACACTTTAAACAACCAAGTGATTAAAGAAGAAATTAAAAAGAAAATTAGAAAATATTTAGAGGTGAATGAAAACAAAAACACAACATACCAAAACTTACAGGATGCAGCAAAAGCAGTGTTAAGGGGGAAAATTATGGTTAATGCTTATATTAGAAAACAAGAATCTGAAATCAACAACCCAACTTTACAACTTAAACAACTAGAAAAAGAACCAACTAAACTCAAAGCTAGCAAAAGGAAGGAAATAATAAAGATTAGAACAGAGATAAATGAAATAGAGTATAGGAAAAAAATAGAGAAAATCAGTGAAATCAAAAGTTGGTTCTTTGAAAAGATCAACAAAACTGACAAATTTTATCTACATGGACTAAGAAAAAAGAGAGGAATCAAATTACTAAAATCAGAAATGTAAGTGGGGACATTACTAGCAATTCTACAGAAATAAAAAGGATTATAAGAGTACTATGAACAATTGTATGCCAAAAAATTAGATAACCTAGATGAAATGGACAAATTCCTAGAAACACAAAACTCACCAATACTAAATCACAAAAAAATGAATAAACCTGTAACTAGCAAGGAGATTGAATCAGAAGTCAAAAAATCTCCCAACAAAGAAAAGTCCTACACTTGACAGCTTCACTGGTGAATTCTACCAAACATTTAATGAAGAATTAATACCCATCCTTCTCAAACTTTTCCAAAAAATTGAAAAGGACTTTCAGGATTTTCCTAACTCATTTTATGAGACTAACACAACCACGATACAAAGCCAGACAAAGACATTACAAGAAAACTACAGAAGAATATCCCTTGTGAACATTGATGCTAAAAGTCTATAAACAAAATACAAGCAAAAAAAAACATTCAGTAGCCTATTAAAAGGATTAACACAATAGCCAAGTGGGATTCATACCTGAAATGCAATGATGGTTCAACATACAAAAATCGATCAATACACCACATCAACAAAATGAAGGAAAAAACCCACACTATCATCTCAATTGATGCAGAAGCAGCATTTGACAAAATTCAACACCCTTTCATGATAAAAACACTCAACAAAATAGAAATAGAAGGAAACCATCACAACATAACAAAGCCATATATGAAAACCCCCCAGCAAGTATCATACTCAATGGTGAAAGACTGAAAGCGTTTTCTGTAAGATCAGGAACAAGGCAAGGATGCCCACTTCCACCATTTCTATTCAACACAGTACTGGAAGTTCCAGCCAGATCAATTAGGCAAGAAAAAGAAATAAAAGGCATCCAAATTGGAAAGAAAGAAGTAAAATTATCTCCCTGTTTGCAGATAATACGATCTTCTATGTACAAAATCCTAAATACTCCACAAAAAAGCTGCTGGAATAAATTACTTCAGCAAAGTAGCAAGATACAAAGCCAACACACAAAAATCACTTGTATTTCTAAACAACGAACAATCTAGAAAGGAAATTTCAGAAACAATTCAATTTGCAATAGCATCAAAAAGAATAAAATACTCTTTAACTTAACCAAAGAGGTGAAAGACTTGTACAATAAAACTACAAAACACTGCTGAAAGAAATTAAAGAAGATTTAAATAAATGGAATCACATCCTATGTTCATGATCGGAAGACTTAATATTATTAAAATGTCAATACTATCCAAAGCGGTTTACAGATTAAATGCAACCCTATCAAAATCCCAACGACGTTTTTTGCAGAAATATAAACCCTCGTATATGGTGAAATAGTTAATGTCAAGGGTGCCAAGACCAATCAATGGGGAAAGGACAGTTGTTTCCACAAATGGTACTGGGAAAAATGGATATTCACACGCAAAAGAATGAAGTTGGATCCTTACCTAACACCATATAAAAAAATTAACTCAAAATGGATGAAGGACCTAAACATAAGATCTAAAACTAAATTATAAAATAAAACTCTTAGAAGAAAGCATACAACAAAAGATTCATGACATTGGATTTGGCAACAATTTCCTTGGATATGACACCAAAGCACAGGTAACAAAAGAACAAACAGACAAATTGGACTTCATGAAAATTTTAAAATATTGTGCATCAAAAGACACTATCCAAAGTAAAAGGGAAACCCACAGAATGGGGGAAAGTATTTGCAAATCATATAACCAGATAAAGGATTAAAATCCACAATATACAGAGAACTTTTGGAACTCAACAACAACAAAAACACAAAACTGATTAAAAAATGAGCAAAGACCTTTTAAAAAGACATTTCTCCAAAGAAGATAAATCAATGGCCAACAAGCACATGAAAAAATGCTCAACATCACTAATCATCAGAGAAATGCAACTCAAAACTACACTGAAATACATCTCACACCCATTAGGGTAGACAGCTACTATTAAAAAAAACAAAAAAACAGAAAATAACGAGGGTTAGCGAGGATTTGGAGAAATTGGAACCCTTATGCACTGTTGGTGGGGAATGTAAAATGGTGTAACTGTTGTGGCAAACAGTATGGTGGGGCCTCAAAAAATTAAAAATAGAATTCCCATACAATCCAACAATTCTACTTCTGGGTATATACCCAAAAGAATTAAAAGTAGGGTCTCAAAGAGATATTTGATCAGCCACATTCATAGCAGCCTCATTCACAATAGCTAAAATGTGGAAGCAACCCAAGTGTTCATCAACTGATAAATGGATGAGCAAAATGTGGTATACACAGATGATAGAGTGTTTTTCAGCCTTAAAAAGGAAGGAAGTTCTGCAATATGCTACAACATGGATCAACCTTGAGGACACTATGCTAAGTGAAATAAGCCAGTCACAAAAAGACAAATACCGTATGATTGTGCTTATATGAAGTCTTTAGAGGAGTCAAAATCACAAAGACAGATCGTGTAATGGTGGTTGTCAGGGACTGGAGGGAGGGGAGAAGGGGAGTTATTGTTTAATAGGGATAGAGTTACAGTTTTACGAGATGAAAAGTGTTATGGGGATGGATGGTGGTGATGGCAGCACAATGTGAATGTATTTAATACCACTGAACTGTACATTTACAAATGGGTAAGATGGTAAATTTCATGTTATGTGTATTCCACTACAAAAAAAGCAGATACCTAAGAATTAAAATTTAAAAATTATAAGAATTAAGAATTTTCTTAAAAAATCAACAAAACCAAAACTGCTTCTTTGAGAAGATTAATAAAATTGACGACCCCACCAAGACTGATCTATGTACATGTACACAAAGAATGGAAAGAAATCGTCCAAAAGATAAAATATGAAAATTTTTACATGAAGCAAATACAGACCAATTTTTATTTTCTTCTTTGTTCTCCTGTGGGTTTTATTTAATTATTTAATTTATTTATTATTTATTTTTTTTCCCTTTTTCTCCCCAAAGGCCCCCGGGTACATAGTCGTATATTCTTAGTTGTGGGTCTTTCTAGCTGTGGCATGTGGGATGCCGACTTAGCATGGCTTGATGAGCGGTGCCATGTTCGTGCCCTGGATTTGAACCAGCGAAACCCTGAGGGCCGCAGCAGAGCTCATGAACTTAACCACTCGGCCATGGGGCAGGCCCCAACCTGTGGGTTTTCTAAATTTTCTATAAGTAAGCTGTCTTAAAGTACCAACTGCACGGTATGAAATACAACTTTTAGTAAACTCACCTGGCAGCCAGAGAATAAATGGCATTGGCCGATGCTGAAGGTTTGATTTTGGGGTGCTCACATTCTGGACCGGCTAATGGGCTGCTATTCATATTCTGGAAAGAAAAGTCTTGAAAAAGTACCTTCTTAACACAATTAAGTATCTCCTCTTACTTATTTAACCTATTCAAAATTACAAGAACGATAATATAGACAGAGACCTCACTCTCAATGTCATCCTTAGGGGTTGTTACATCTAACAAAAGCATAGTTGCTTTTCAAGCTCTGAAGAAAGCTCAAATGTAAGGATTACGCAGACAGATCTAAAAAGAGCCAAGGAAATGAGGTTTGTTTGTTAGTTTTAATTCTAGAAAGATTTGAGGAAATTGGCTGTCTACACAAATACCTTTTCTAGCTTTCAAATTCTATACATCTTTCTACATTGATGTCACCAGAAAGTCAAACCTAATCCACTCTCACTACTTAAACTGCCCATCACATAGATGCCACTGAAATCTAAGTTACCCTCTCGTTTCCCATGCAATCAAGGAATAGGGAGTTCATTTAAGGGCACAGCATTCCTCAACCTTACCCTTTCAGTTCCACCTTTTTCTTTGATTTCCAACTACCTACTGGCCAATTCTCCCTTCAATGGCTTATCTCAAATTCAACATGTCCCTAGTTAGCCAGGTTCAAAACCTCAGGCGTGCGTGCGTGCGTGTGTGATTTCTCATCCTTTTTCCCGCTCAGTGATTGCTTTCAAGCCTTACTGGGTCTTTGTTTCATGCTCTCTAAAGGCTCCACCCAATCTGGCTGCCCCTTCTTCTCACAGACAATGATTCTCCCTTTTGCTTACCTAGCACCAGCTATACTAAACTCCTTTGCTATTCCTCAAATAGACTCTCCCAAATTCGCTTGTTTTCCCTTCATCCTGGAATGGTCTTCCCCTAGAATCAGCAGAGCTCACTCTCCCTGTTGCTCCAGGTTTTGCTCAAAATTGTACCTCATCCCTTCAGTTACCCCCTACCTCAATTCCAGCTGTCTCTACATCCCTTTTTTATGCTATTTTCCTCCACAGCACTCATCAGTGTCCGACATCCTATATGTTTTATTAATTAATTAATTTCCTGTCTTTCCTCCACTAGAATGTAAACTTTGTGAGGCAAGATTTTTTGTTGAGTGCATAAGTAAACTAATAAAAGAAAGAATGTACCTCACCCACCCCAAGTTCTGGACCCTTTACCTCATGGACCACTAATCTGTCCTTTTCCAATCTACTCTCTCATCAATTCATTCTGCATACTACTACTAGATTCATCTCTTTATTTTTAATTTTTATTGTTTTGAGGAAGATAAGCCCTGAGCTAACACCTGCTGCCAATCCTTCTCTTTTTGCTGAGGAAGACTGGCCCTGAGCTAACATTCGTGCCCATTTTCCTCTACTTTATATGTGGGACACCTACCACAGCATGGCTTGACAAGCAATGCGTAGCTCCACACCCAGGATCCAAACTGGGAAGCCTGGACTGCTGAAGCAGAAGGTGTGAACTTAACCGCTGTGCCACCAGGCCAGTCCAAGATTTCTCTCTTCTTTTTTTTTTTAAAGATTTTTTTTTATTCTTCCTTTTTCTCCCAAAGCCCCCGGTACATAATTTTGTATTTTTAGTTTTGAGTCCTTCTAGTTGTGGCATGTGGGATGCTGCTTCAGCGTGGCCTGATGAGCAGTACCATGTCCGCACCCAGGATTCAAACCGGTGAAACCCTGGGCCGCCGTAGCGGAGCGTGCAAACTTAACCACTTGGCCACGGGGCCAGCCCCCAAGATTCATCTCTCTAAACCACCATTCTGGTCACGTCATTCTACTAATTTAAAGCCTTCAAATGCTCCTGATTTCCTACCAAATAAATTCAAATTCTTTTGGGAGGGGATATTCAAGGCCCTGTAATCTTAGTACTAATGCTTCTTTCTAGCCCTTTTTCCTACTCTGACATGCAACATTTCTGCTCTACTCAAACTACTTCTTGTTATACAATAGACCTTAAGCATTTCTGTCATTGTAGCTCTGATCCACCTTAAAACTGTATCCACTTTGGAAAGAATATTTCAAATTCAGGTGCCACTCTTTCCATAAAGCCCTCATGACTGTTGTATCCGGAAAGAATCTCTCCTTTCTCTAAAACTTCAGTGTTTTCTATTTATACTACTCACGGTATATACACACACACACATATTTACTATAGTACTTACAAAAATGCCTTATCCAGTTATTAATATACACTTCTTGAGGGTAGGGACTGTTATATTATCTCTGAATCATGTATAAAATCTACCACAAAACTTCGACCCATCAAATGCCGTCCACAAATATTTTTTTAATAGGCTAAATAATTTCAAAATCAGGACTCACCATGGAGGTATCCAGACTGAACGTGCTTCCGAGCCTGGACACATCTGTTCTGGGTTCCATTTGTGAGGGCAACGAAAATGGAAGTGAATGTCGGTTGGTTAACTCTCTCCCCGTCCAGGGGTCACCAGTGTTTGGGGCAACTACTGGTACTTTGGGGACTGGCCGAGGCAGCCATGATTCCCCAAGGCGGCTAGAGGGGACAGGGGGAAGTTTGTCTCTGGACGGACAGTCGCCTGGTGTACAAGGCAAGGGGCGTCTCTGAGGCCGGGTTTCTGCTCCAACAGAATATGGCCGGTCTGGAGGGGGTGGTGGTGGAAGATCTCGCAGTGTGGGAGGTATTGGTAATGGTTTGTCCTTATGCAGGGAGCCAGAAGCAGCCTGTGGAAGCATGATGGAAACAAACCAGTCAAAACTCACTAATCCACAACAAAGAATCAGAAAACTGTAGAAATGGGTAATGCTTTACTTTAGAAGCAGTTCCAAGACCAGAAGCACTTGAAGGAATAGACACTCGTTGCTGCAGAAGGTCAAGTCGTGGTGGCACTGGAGGAAGGGAAGCTTGTGGGGCCACAGAGAACGGAGAAGGAGGTCGTTCCACCTAATAGAAATGAAATTTCCTAATAGGTTATTCTTGTTCGGGGGAGCGGCATCTTTCAACTCCTCCTAAAGGCGCAGATAGCAAGCACTATTGACACTAACTACCAACGGGTCAGACTTTGGCCTTGGGGAGCACTTCCTGAATTATTTTTGTGTCACCATAAGAGGGCACTCTCAATCACAGAAATACCACAAAAGCGATAAGCAAAATGTATCTTAGAAACGGCTGTGCCACAATAAGCTTCCCAGCTTACAATTTTAAAGAAATATTACAATTTCCCACCTCACCTTCAGAGAAAGAAAAAAATCTTTTCAAGATTAAAAATAGGAACTCGTATAAAAAGAAAGGGGTAGACATTAACTTCTCAACAGATCACCCGGGAAAATAATGTTTAAGGTCGCAGAACAATGAAAGAGATCAAAGATGATAAGTTCTCTGTGGGTTATTATAATAAAAAGAAAAAAATTTTAAGAGAAAAATGATCAATAATATCACTAAAAAGCATATTGAGTCTTCTGAAGAAAAGTTATTCCAATTCAGTAACAAAAGGAATTAGTATTTTCTGTCAATTTGTGTTCTAAAAAATGAGGTGCCAAATCAGAAGAAACAATACATGCATAATCTTTTCCACTTCCTGGCCTACAGCGGGGTGATGAATATCTGATAAGCTTGTCCCACTAAGCGATATACAGCAATTCACATAAAATGCTACTTTGCACCTGCATTCTCTAACAGGGAGCAATACAGATGGAATATAGGCAAATAGGCATTACAAGCACTTACGTGAGATGACAGAAAACAATCAACCCTACACTTAGTCCTGTCATTAATGCTGGGTGGTGCACGAGGGTGAAGAAAGCTCTCATCATTAGCTACTTGCTTTTACTCATGCTTAAGAAAATGGACTCCATGTCAACAGAGTACGAGCAACAGAGCACGAGCAGCTAAACACCTCAAGAGTTAAGAAAGTGAAAAGTTATTAGTCTAGGTAATTCTCACTTCATCATCAATTGCTAGTCAGTCACTGTATCCTGGTGATTTTCCATAAAAGAATCTCATATCTCCACCTTCCTTTTCATTCTACTTATCAACCTCAGGTCTGATTTATAAAAACTACCTTCCAGGGTCTCTCCCAACTTCTAGTTTCTTATCTCACCAAATCCATTTGCTCACCATTACCACCTTAGTCATCCTCAAATATGTACTCATACCTCAAAAACTATCCATCGGGAACTCTTACTTTTCCACAACCTGTTCCAGAATTCCTACCTCCTTGACTTTGTTCAAATTGTTTCCCTTGAAAGGGCCTCTCTACCTATTTTGATCCCTCCCACCAGCCACTTCTCTTGCTCATTCCTGAAGTGCAGAGTTGGGCTAATCATATTCCTCAATTCGTGGCTCAACATCATAGCCAATGACCACAACGTTCTTTTATCTCAATATATAATAAACAAGAACATTTCCAAGACCCAAGGGACACAGATCCCATACAGAAAGGGATCATTGCATAGCTAGCCCAGTGAAGGAAAAGACACTCGGAGCATGCAAACAAACCGAAACACTCTTAAATTTTCAGGGACTCAAGGATAAGGAAAATATCCTAAAAGCTTCTGGGGATAGAGGGAGAGGGGGCACCAAACAGCAAAAATACACTAGAAACTACAAGTCAAGTGAAGCCATAACAATTTAGAGTTTAATTTTTTCCATGTAGAATTCTATAACTAGTCAGTTTGAGGATTGAATAAAGACGTTTTTTTTTGCTTGAGGAAGATAATCCTGAGCTAACATCTGTGTCAGTCTTCCTCAACTTTATACATTGGTTGCCACCAAAGTGTAGCTGTCGAGTGGTCTAGGTCCATGCCTGGGATCCAAACTCATGAACCTGGGCCGCTGAAGCGGAACATACTGAACTCAACCACTGTGCCACGGAGCCAGCCCCGAATAAAGACATTTTAAGATACCAAATGTCTCAAAAATTTTACCTCTCACCTTTTCACAGAAAGCTATTTATCTTTTTTTTTTTTTGGAGAGGAAGATTGGCCCTGAGCTAACACCTGTGCCAATCTTCCTTTATCTCATATGTGAAATGCCACCACAGTATGGCTTGATGAGTGGTGTGTAGGTCCGCACTCGGGATCCGAACCCATGAACCCCAGGCCCCTGAAGCAGAGTGCATGAACTTAATAACCACTATGCCACCAAGCCCATCTGACAAAAAGCTATTTTGAGGACATACTCCACCCAAACATGGAAGTAAAACAAGAAAGAGGAAAACATGGGGGCCAAGAAATAGGCACACCAACACAGAGGAGGCAATGAAGTCCCATGAGACGGCAAGGGGAGACCTCAGGATGATGGGGAATGCAGCACACCCAGAGAATAACCAGTCCAGGCTAGAGCCAAAACATGGAAGACTCCTATATATTAGTACACTATATTATATACTATCTCCTATATTAATAGAATTTACTTCATAGAAAATTACACTGAGAGATGTCTGACAGCATGGTAAGACTTAGTGCTAGGTACAAACGGAAAACTAAGGAAACAAAACTAAAGCAATTATCTCAGGAAAAGCAAAAGGTTGTATAAGAAAGCAAAAATAATTATAGTATAGTATATTACTTGGCACATTAGAGAGCAAAGTCATTTAAATACTGAATACTGATTTAGCCAAAAAACATGCAAACAGCTACAGTGGGAAGATACGGAGTAGGAAGGAGGGAGATAATAAAAGACCTAAATCCTTCTCTCCAACACCTGAAGTGAACAGATAACTAACACTGAAGTATCAGGAGAAAGCAGTATAAGCATATGGTAAGAGACAGTTCTCAGAACTGAAAAACCTAAATGGGGCACAGAGAGGAGCTGGAGTGGGCGGAGGCAGGGAACCAACATTTCTGTAAGCCTTTTATCAATTCTTTTAAATTAAAAAAAATTCATGTGCATTTATCACTTGGGTTTTTCAAAAAGTAGATTCACTATATTAAAAACAAATCAAAATTAAACAAACAACAAACAACAGCTACCAGGAAGTGACAAAACAGGCACTCTCATAGTCTCATATACCTCTGGAAGTGATTTTAGGAAAAAAAATTGGGAATAAATTTTAATATCTGTCCAAAAGAAGTTAAATATTTCTATTCAAACATCTTATTCATACTTTACACAAACTATAAGGTAGAAAGAACAATAAAACACCCACGAAGTACCTACCATTCAGCTAAGAAATGAAATGCCACAGTCTCTGTGAAATTCTCACCTCCCCTTCCCCTAATTACATCCCTCTGCTCTGTCAGAGAGTTTAAATGTACATACTCTTTCATCCAGCAGTTCCACTACTTAGAAATTTACCCTACAGATAGACTTGCAAAAGAGCACCAAGATGTCTAAGCCTGGAAACAACATGAATGTCCATTACGAAGAGACTAAATAAATTACAGAGCTGCCAAGTGACAACACATGAAGCTGTTTTTTTTTCTCTATTTGAATTTTTACAGTGTACATTTATTACTTTTATTTAAACGGGTAAATTTACTATCATTCATATAGATCAGCTATGGAAAAAAGTGTTCATTTTCTTCTTTCCTCTAAATTCTATAGCACTTAACAATTTAAACAATATACACTGTCTTGCCTCCTGTTAAATAGCATTTCACCTACATATATTCTCTTCTCAAATAAAACTGCTAGCTTCTTGCAGGTCTTTGTCTTAGGTGTCTTATCCCATATAACACTCAACACAGAGCTACTTACCTAGCACAATAAACTCTTTGCAAAATTATTGTGTTAATTGTAAAAAATTCAAATATTCTCTAAAATTAAAGTCCTCTAAACTCGTATCCTCAGAAATAAAAGTGAGTAACTTGGTGTGTAGTCATCCAACTTCTCCCCTATGCATGTTAAAAAAATTCTTTACAACCAATTTTTTTCTTTTTGAAGAAATAAGGTGATACTATACACAGTATATAGCTTTTTAACCTTAATATACATTAGATAGCTTTCCACTTAAGTATATGTAAACTGAACTCATTCTGCAGAGCATTCCATTATATGGACCGTAGTAGGCAAAACTATGATCCCTCTCTCCCCTCACAAGATGTTCACGCCTTAAAACCCATAATCTGTGAATATGTTACCTGACTTGGCAGGAGGAACTTCGCTAATGTGATTAAGAGTATGGACCTTGAGACAGGGAATTATCCTGGATTATCCAGTGGGCCTGATCTAATCACACTGAGTCCTTAAAAACAGAGAACCTCAGAGAGATAAGATTGAAGGAGGAAAGGAGTCCAGGAGCCAAAGAATGTGGTTGGCCCACAGAAGCTGGGAATATCGTCAGCTGAAAACCAGCAAACAAACAGGGATCTTAATCCTACAACCGGCAGGGAACTAAATTCTGCCAAACCCAAACGAGTCAGAAAACAGATCCTCCCCTACAGCCTCCAGAAAGGAATACAGACCTGCTGACCCCGATTTCACCTGATGGGATATGGATTGGACTTCCGACCTACAGAACTCGAGAGGGTAAGTCTGTGTTGTTTTAAGCTGTTAAATTTGTAGTAATTTGTTATGGCAGCAATAGAATACTCACACATGAACGGACCATAATTTCTTATGATGGACACGTGGGTTGTTTCTAATTTTTTATAATTACAAGTAATGCTGTAAGCATAACAAAATCTATATCCTTCGTGTTTGTCTGAGTATTTCTTTAGGATAAACTCCTAGAAATGGAAATGCTAATTCAAACTGTGAACATTCTGATGTCAAATTTTCCTCCAAAAAGACGGAACTAATCTGTACCCACATCAACACTGAATGTGCCTGTTTCTCCAAAAAGAGTATTACTTGTCTATAAAATTTCATTAAAAACGATATTTTAATTTCAAATAAATACATATATGAATAATGACTTCTTTATCTTAATATTCAGCTTCCCTAATATTCCAGGAGTTTCCAGTAAATTTTCATGAATGAAATTTATGGTAAGAATATAAAACTGCTATAGAGGCCAAATGAAACTCTTAAAAAGGACCAAAGAACCTGTTATAAGGGGCCAAGACTACTGTCAACTTCAAAAAGCCAAAAGCGTACCACTCAAATACTCCAGTCTTCCTGAACTATCCATTATTGATATAGCATAGATAAATTTATCAATTCCTGTTTTAAAGCGTTTTCAATTCCCAGTCAAATATTCAAAGTAATTACTATGTACTCAATTTTGAGTAGCTAATTACAAATGAGACAGAGGTCTGACCTTCTAGAAACATAATATAATGGGAAATACTTTTTTTTGGTCCTCCCCAAAGCCCCAGTACATAGTTGTATATCCTAGTTGTCTTCTATGTGGGACGCTGCCTCAACATGGCTTGACAAGTGGTGCCAGGTCCGTGCCTGGGATACAAACCAGTGAACCCAAGGCCGCCAAAGCGGAGCACGCAAACTTAACCACTACACCACTGGGCCAGCCTCGTAATGGGAAATACTTGTAATAAAATATTACAAAGGGCTGGCCCCGTGGCCGAGTGGTTAAGTTCATGTGTTCTGCTTCAGCGGCCCAGGGTTTCGCTGGTTCAGATCCTGGGCGCCACCACGGCACCATTCGTCAGGCCACGTTGAGGCAGCGTCCCACATGCCACAACTAGAAGGACCTGCAACTAAGATATACAACTATGTACCGGGGGGATCTGAGGAGATACAGCAGAAAAAAAAAAAATATTACAAAGTGATAAGTTCTATGGCAGACATAATCACAGTGTCCCAGAAACACCTGGCCAGACCTAGATCACATACATGTTTGTAAACGGGTATGAGCTGGGGAAGGGGGAAGCACGGTATAATCTGGAAAGGTTTCCTAGAAAATGAAAACTGAGCTAAATCACATAGAAATTATCAGGATAAAAGGTAACTTTTAGTGGTTCAGCCTTGCTACACCACAAAATATAATATATAAAAAATGAAAGGATTATCAGGGCAAAGTAATTATCAGGATAAAATAATGAGAAATCATCAGAGTGAGAGGCCAAGGAATGAGGTGGTCAGGTTCGCACGTAGATCAATGACTCTGGCAGCAGGGAGAACAGATGAGGATGAGAGCCTGAATCAGGCAGGGGCACTGAGAACAGAGTGGGGGAGATACACTGGATACAATCATTTAAGAGAGAAAATCCATTCTTTCAATATTTATTGAGTACCTACTAGGTGCCAGGCAGTCAGGTGCTGATATAACAGAAAGCGTCTTTTATACCAAGGAAATGCATCCCATTAATCTATAACATTCTAAACTAGAGAATCTGCAGCATATTAGAACCCTCTGTTTGCCCTATATTTACTAAAATCTTCAAGGACTGCCTTACTTCTAATTAGTAAATAAATCCCTATTTTACTCTACTCACTGATGTAACAGAATTTGATCACATCCTTTCTTAGCCTTTATCTTTCCTATCTTTACTAGGGCCTTTCTAGTTTGTTTAGCTCTACGTGGTCCCTCCTACCACCCTATAATCACTTTAGTTGCCTTTATTTGGTTATTAATGTGCCTCATTTCTTCCCCCTGGAACCTAACTTTCTTTCTTTCTTTTTTTTTTTGCGAGGAAGATTAGCCCTGAGTTAACATCTGCCAATCTTCTTCTTTTTGCTGAGGAAGACTGGCCCTGAGCTAACATCTGTGCCCATCTTCCTCTACTTTATATGTGGGATGCCTACCACAGCATGGCTTGCCATGTCGTGCCATGTCCGCACCCAGGATCCAAACCAGTGAACCCCGGGCTGCTGAAGCAGAACGTGCGCACTTAACCGCTGCGCCACCGGGCCGGCCTCATGGAACCTAACTTTCTAATGCCGAGGCTCCACTGGGAAAAAAAAAGAATAACACATTCTAGTCACACTAGCAAAATAAGGTCTAATTCTTTTATTTCTCCTTCATTTTCTCCACCAAGTTATTGGAATAAAGCCCAGTTCTAGGATATAGACAGTAAGAGCATGGGCCTTGAAGCTGTAATACCTGGCCACAGATTCTGGTTCAACTTACTAGCTGTGTGATCTTCAGCAAATTCCTTAACGTTGCTGTGCCTCGGTTTCTTCTTCTGTTAAATGAGGATAAGACTAGTATCTACTCATAGGGATATATGAGCATAGGATTATATGAGTTAAAATAAGTAAGGTGCTGAGCATGGTATCTTTCACATAGTAAATGCTCAATAAATATTAGCTATTATTACTCCCTGTAATTTGGATGTCACTGAGTACCACTTCAGAACACAACTCATAATAGATTTTGCCACAGTCTCTTAAACTGCAGTCTTACCTTGGCACCAGCCAATTCCTTCATCATGAAGAGAGAATCATCAGCTCGTTCATCGTCATCATCATCGTAATTTGGGGAGGGAGCTCCCTCTGCTCCTTGCCTCAACAGGCTGCCACTTCCTCTAGGATCAAATGGATCTACCACAATGGGCTCAGTACCTTTAATTTCACATCGGCAAAAAGGACAGCCCTGGCCTTCTGATTCCTGCAGAGGAAACAGGAGATAGTTACAGACATGTCTAGAAGTACTTCAAATATTCGTCCACTAGAAAATACATTTCCTAGAGATGAAAAAAGAAATCAAAAGCTTAAAACCTACCCCACAAACCAGGCTATCCATTATATCTGTAAAGGATATTTGATCCCCAAGTCTTCAGAGTGATAACATAGCTGAGAAAATGCATGGTTTGGATCCATACCTGCCAGGATGTAAGACAGGATGTACACATGAGGTGTCCACAGGGCTCGATCTTTACATCCTTATCATTCTCAGCACATATTTTACACAGTTGGAATGTGGAACCCATCTCACAGTATAATTCATATTGTTCCTTTGATTAAAAAAAATTAAGAGATTACTCAGCCTATTGTATATATCTGCTGAATGAACGAGTGAATGACACAACTACAAACGCTAACTAAAAACAGAAAAATTGAAGACCGTGCCTTCCTATATAAATTTTGCGTATATAAAAAAGTGTCACAACAGTGGTCAACGTTCTCTCATTAAAACAAAAAGCACCTCGTCTTGGTCAACCTACCTAGTCTTGGTCCTGTTTTAAGCTGCATAGTTTAAAGAGGAAACACACACACGCAAATTCACTAATCTAGTCAGTGGTTTATAACTAAGTGATCGATTAGTTAAAACAATTCTACTGTCAGTTCTATACAGTAGATACAAAAGCCCGGCTCTAGTGACATGGTTATAACACAAAACAAAACTCACCTGGGTCACTTTGATGTGGTCCTGGGGAGTTGGTTCACATAAACCTGTCAGGTCAGGATTCTGATTCCGTCCATCAGGAAACAAATAGCTGTAAAAAAAGAAACCAGTCTTGGGGTTTTACGGAAGCCAATTTATCACTGCTTGCTAATACAGACAAACGATATCTAGGAATTCCCTCATTCTAAAAGGGTAACTTTGCATAAGTGCAAAGATAAATCTTACTAATACTTCAAAAACATTAAATAACACAGAATAGTTCCACGAAGATATTCTCCAAACACTGATATTCTTTCTCCAGGGCACAATGCCACAGACTCTTTAATCAAAGGATTGACAAACTTTTTCTGTAAAGGGCCAGATAGTAAATATTTTAGGCTTTGCAAGCCATACAAGTCTGTGTCACATTCTTCATTTTATTATGTTTTAAACAACACTTTAAAAAGGAAAAACTATCTTAGATGCAGGCCGTACCAAAACAGCTAGCCTGTAGGCTATAGTTTGCCAAGCACTATTTTAATCTATGGATGGACACAAAATATAAATTCTTAAACTGCATTTGCTTTTGACCAAAGACCTGAAATACCCTTGTTTACAGATTTACTATTGAGAGACAACAACTTAAAAGAAATGTAACAAGAAGCAAATTAAGCCACTGAGATCATCTACCAGGAAGCTTCTAGCATCAAACTGCTCTGACATTTGGAGAAGCAACCCTTTCAGCTCCAATGCTATTAAAAGACGATGCACAATGGAAAATGGATTTTCCTAATCACTTTAAAACATAAGTAGTTTTCTGATACCTGATCAACTGTTAGTATTTTTAGTGCTTATCAACTGATAATCAATTTGAATGCCCAAAGGAATAGCAATTCTGGAATAAATAGGAATTTAGTCATAAATATTAGCACAGATTACAAAAGCCCAAAGCCTGAAGAAATGCTACTGAACCAAAATGAAGTTCGGATGAAGGCAGATGAAGTCCACTGAGCCTGCTGTCATTACAAACATCTAATCACTCTAATGCTGGCTAGTTAAATAACTGGTAACATTTTCTGCTAATTAGTCTACCTTTACATCTAAATATAGACTTGAAAATAAATTCACATTTGGAAAAGGAGAAAGATCAAGTTTACTCATGGAAATAACTGAAGTAAATAAAATAAGTAAATTTTGAGAAAAATAATTTTACTCAAGGAATTAGTTTTAAGTCAAAACAACAGTCACACAGAACCTGAAGGTCACAACAATGTAACCTGTTAATCTGTTTCCTTGAATCTTCCTCTGTAGAAGGAACCTGGAATAAAGTCAATAATGATGAAGTTTTCCCACCCCCAAGTTCCCAGGCTCTAGCAGATGGTAAACAGCAGGTACTCACAAGCCTTCCCTGAAGCCATCAATCAGTGCTTGGAAGAGAGGTTTATTGTGCGGGATTGTCTGGAGAATGTTCCCATCAGCAGTGACATACCCAATAGCCCACTGACCCAGACGAGTACAGCTCAGCCGGAAAATGTAACTGAGAACAGAGATAAACAGAACCTTTAACACATATGCTCGTATTAGAGTGAAAGGCAAAACACAGACAAAAATAAAAAGGACCATCAATAATAGATTCTTCAATGACTCCAGACCAAAACGCAAAAGGCACATAAGCCCAATTCTTCACTAGCCTGAAAGTGTTTACTAAATCATAGGATCTGAAAAAGTCAATTCCTCTGATAAACAGACATCAACCCTGTTGCAGAAACGTGGCCACTGGGGAACCAACAAAAGATCATGTTTCCTGTATTCTAGCAAAAGTCAGGAGAATAAACCTCTTTGCTTCACGCCACTGACCTCCCAGGCTTGTGAATGAATTTCTGGAGCCGAGCTTTCACTTCATCATATGTCAGGAAAGCCATGTAACCAGGATGAGTTACAGCAAGACTGTTCCAGTTCCTGAGCAAAGAGGACCAGGGCTAAGGAAACAAGAGATCAGTCAGACCACTCGGCTCAAGACATACAACCCAGTCTCAGAGCAACTAAGAACAAAAGGAAAAACCACCTCAACTCTCAATTATAAATTCTCCACTTACTGTCACAAATTTTCCATTATATTGTCACTTTGAGAGAAGACAAACATGTTTGGAGATAAGAACTTTGAAAAGCTGAGAAGAAACGAATATATACTTATAGGGAGAAACTTAACTTTACAAAATGACATCCAAGAAATTTTTAAGCAGCTCACCAACAGTAGGGAGGTTAAACAACAACAATAAACAAACGAAAAAACAGAGAAACAAGGCAGGGCCCACATGTGCAACTAAGAAGTTCCAAACAAAGGTTTATGCAAGGTGGCATACGCACACGTTATTTTTAGGAAAAAGAGTTCTTTCTGAAGTGTCAATACATCTCATTATTAACAGTCAAAAACTTCAATAAAATGAGGAGAAAAAGTTGGAAATACACATAAATGTCCAATAACAGAGAAGTGATTAAATATATTATACCCATTTTTTGGATGTTCTACAACCATGAAAATGATGCAAACAATATTTAATAAAAAAGATTATAAATGTGAAGGAAAGAAACAAAATTGTATGGTTATTATTTTCACCAAAAAAAAAGAAATATAGCGTTTTTAAAGTTTTTCTGTTTTGCTCATAGTTTCTACAATAAATATATAATAGGCAAAATCCCAAATGTTATTTTTTTAACAGCTTTCTCTTCAAAAAAGTAGCAATAACTAGTTTAGCCAACTTTTTAGTATCCTACCTGAAAGAGTCGCGTAAAGATGTCAAATTCAAAAACTGAAATATAATCATTGCAGGTCAGATCAATGGTGGATTTCAGAGCCATGGCCTCCAGCCCAGAACTGATGGGATGTACTTCATGAAGGGCCTGCCGGAAGCTCTTCCAAGGGACTATTGTCCTGATGTGGGGGTGGGAATGAGGGAGAAGGCACAGAGTGAGATAGGTAATTCCAGGCACTGCTACAATCAAGGAAAAGACAGCCACTTTAAGCTCTCAATAGCAATTTCAATTCTCTTAGAGAAGCTGAGCTATATTTTGGAGTGAGAACAGAAAGGGAGTCAATGATATTTTTTTAACTTTCTAATGAGTAAATTAATAATAGAGAAGTCCTTTTCCACTATTCTTTGGCAGAATGTCACAAATTAATCCCTTCTCTCATCTTTCTTCACACATTTCTTCTATTAAAGGAGCATGGAAAGAGAGATAAGAGTATTCTTTTTATATAATAAGTGCAATCTGTGGCCAGACTTTTACTCACTGAAAGCTTGTGTTTAACTTTTTAAAAGCATGTAAAACATTGTGTTCTTTGAGGAACCCACACTATCAAAGACTAGACTGGAGGAAACAGGCATAAAGGAAGAACAGAGTTCTGACAGATGAAGAAGAAATTACTCAATGTAAGAGTGAGGGATTAAACCCCAGATATAGCTAGCAAGAGATATTGTGGGATTTCTATTTCTCAAGATCTTTAACACAAACACAATCTCATTGCCTTTGAAAGGTTTATGTATTCACCTGCCTGAGAAGAGGAGATCAAATGGTGTTTTGAACTCTTTTCTAATGTAGTTAAGTTAAATTTATTCCCATCTTTTTCAACTAAGTTTTTTAAATCGCTAATTATTCTACATTTTATATATGAACATGATTTTTTTTAAATAAAGAAGGCATTTAAAGAGAGATGTTAGGGTTTGTATATTCAACTGAAAAATTTTATTGCTTTCTACCTTCTCAGTTCTTTGATCCAAAATTTCAGAGGATATACAAGAATATTCATATTAATCCTTAAAAACATAAGCTTGAGGGGCTGACCCTGTGGCCGAGTGGTTAAGTTTGCGCGCTCCGCTGCAGGTGGCCCGGTGTTTCATTGGTTCGAATCCTGGGCGCGGACATGGCACTGCTCATCAAACCACACTGAGGCAGCGTCCCACATGCCACAACTAGAAGGACCCACAACGAAGAATATACAACTATGTACCGGGGGGCTTTGGGGAAAAAAGGAAAAAAATAAAATCTTTAAAAAAGAAAAAAAAAAAAAATAAGCTTGACTCATAAATCTATCTGTATAATTTAAAACTTGTGTATATCAAAAGCCTATATAATAAAGTGGAAAGACAAGCCATAGACTACAAGATATTTTTAATGTAAGTAACTAACAAAGAATTAGTATCTTACAATAAGAAAAAGACAATTCAATAAGAAAATGGACAAGTCAGGAATAGGAACAGGCAAGTCAGAATAAGAATCTTGACTGGTCATAAATGTGAAAAGATGCTCAATCTCTCTAGTCTTCAGGAATATAAAGCAAAATATGATACCAATTCATATTACCACTGTTAGTGGTAAGCAATTTGGAAAGCAATTAGGTAATACTTGGCAAAGAAGATGTGAAATCCCTTGACTTAGCAATTCTACTCCTAGGTATGTAACTACAGAGAAACTCTTGCATATGAAGACAAATACAGTCAGGCGCTGCATGACAGCTGACCGCATATAGACAGTGGTCCCATCAGATTAGTACTATACAGCCTAGGTGTGTAGTAGGCTATACCATCTAGGTGTGGAGAAGTATATTCCATGATGTTTGCACAATGACAAAATAGTCCAACAATGCATTTCTCAGAACGTGTCCCCGTTGTTAAGTGACACATGACCGTACAATTTTGTTCACTGTAGCACTGTTTGCAATAGCAAGTAATATGAAACTTAAATGTTCATAAACAGCATAACAGACAAGGAGAGAAAGAGAAGAGTATTCAAAGGGTATGGGTTTCAACTGGATCTGCAAAGGTTTATTTCTTTAAAAAAAAAATGATCAGGGCAAAAAAAAAAGGTTAATATTTACCAAAGCCGGGAAGTAGGTATACACATATTCATTACTTTTCTCTCTGTTTCCCCATGTTTTAAATATTTCATTAATAAAAAACTTAAAAACCCACAGCACAAGCTTTAACTCTTCATAGTTTAAATTCGTTATTTTGAGACTTACTTTTCCCCAAAAGCTTTCCTCCAAAATTCTGCAGCATCTGCTTTAGTAATTCGAAATGTGTCTCCTTGAAAGAGGCCACTTGGAAAGATTCCTTTTAGTTCTGCCAGCATGTGGCTGAAGATCAGGGACAGTTTGGTTAGGTTTCGCCTACAAATGATCAGACGTGAGATAATTAAACACATAAAATGATTTCTATTTTAAATGCAGTGAATTCATATCAGGTGTATAATTAATATGAATATTAAAATACATTTATAAAGAACTTCTTCAAATATACTTTCTGGCCAATATTATTTAAAGATATATAAAACTAGGGAAGAAGAGAGGAAGGAACGTGCTGTTGACAATATTAAATACACTGTGATACCGCTATCTTTGTTAAAAAGGGGCTTCAGAAACCGTTTTTTGCTTTAACATATGAAAGACGTAAACATAATGGAAGAAAGATTTGCATTCACTAGGTCCACTCCTATTCTCTCCATTCAAATAGATGTTGTATGGTAAATAAGAAAAACAATTTAACAGTAATATTTTTTAAGACTTTTAATCCTAAATTAATCAGGCCTAATAACTCAGGGCATAAACTAACATGAACAAATTTACTTTTTTAGGATGACAGATAAGAGGATTCAACAAATAAGCGTAAGAACTTGTATATTGCTATAACCACTCACTCACAAAAAAAGGAAATGTTAGAAAAGCAAAATACATTACTTCCTGCTGTGCATAAGCTTTCTAATAGGATTTTAAACATCACATATAACTCATCCAAATTGAAAATAAATTAAAAATCTCAATAAAAAGGACTATTTAAATATCTAGACCGAACAAATATTTTCACTAAATCAGACCTTAAAGAGGTAAGTTTTAGGGACTGGCCCCGTGGCTGAGTGGTTCAAATGCCATGCATTCTGCTTCGGCAGCCCGGGTCTGCAGGTTCAGATCCCAGGCGTGGACCTACCCCACTCATGAGCTATGCCGTGGAGGCATCCCACATGCAAAATAGAGGGGGACTGGCACAAATGTTAGCTCAGGGCTAATCTTCCTCAAGCAAAAAAAAAGAGGAGGCCTGGCAATGGATGTTAGCTCAGGGCGAATCTTCCTCACAAAAAAAAAAAAGGGGGGGGAGAGAGGTAAGTTTTACCAAGACAACTCCTCTTCCTTTACCAAAAATGAAATGCTAACATCGAAAACATGCAAAAATTTCAACATAAATGTATATGCTACTACTACATTTTAACAATTAGTTAACCTTATTCTAACAATCTCTATTTAATGGATGTGATTATAAAGATGACACACAATACCAACTTAGCACACCAGACGATGGCTCTACTTTTACATGTGTACTTTAATCAGATTATCTTTATCTTTAATGGTATTGTCACTCAGAACAAGACGCCTTGGATATGGTTATACACCAAACCAGCTACTGATTACACTTGCTTATTTTCCCTTGCCTCAATAATTAGTATCTATGTATTCAAAAGTCTGTTCTTGTCATATAGGTGAACTATAAAATTTCAAGTCAATTCATAATCAAATTTGATCGCCTAAAAATTCTCTTCAATAGACAGAGATTGTCCTTTTATTATGCTACACTGGCGGGCCACGATCAGTCCTATGTCTGCCTTTCCTGGATAAACTGCTGCACGAAACTAACCGAGTCTCTCTAGCCCTGGCTCTTCCGCAAAATGCTGCTGAAATCTTTCTAATCAGCTTTTCAACAAATCAGCTTCAGTTTCTTGATATTTGCCTTCTTGTATTTTTAGCAAGTTGTTCTCTTTCTAGTTTCCTATTTGTTTTCTGAAAGCACTTTCAAAAGTGATAAAATCAATATGCTGTGAAGACAGTCTAAAATAATTCACATGCTAAGTAGCTTGAGTGTAAATATTAAAGCACATACACTTATCTAATCCCTAAACTGCACTAACTGTTTTCCTCCTCGTGCTCTAAAATCCTTCAATTATTGCTGGTTACGACTTTTACTATTTTATCAAAGAGGAAACAAATAGACAAGATCAAGAATATATCATAGAGGGATTCTGAAAGATAACTTGGTAGAAAATCTGCAAAGCGCAAATTATTCCCAATGACTACTTTCAAGTTTTTAGCAGGACACCAGCGTGCACAGTGGACTAAACCTCAGTATTTATGTAACATTCTGCCAAATGTTAATCCTTAAAGATAGGCAGGTGAGCGTCCATGATTCCCTTAAGATATGCTAAATTGTTGAGATTTACACATAGAAAGCACTATGTGTAAACAACTATGCTAAACTGTACAGCAGAATAATGTATGATATGATAGAAAAAATATATATCATACTCCCAAGGTTACAATAGAGCTCTTCCTGGAAGAAACATGTTCGAAGCTTACTTCTTCCTAACACTGTCTGTCCCTGGTTTCTCCGGTGTTGTCCTCTCTTGGTTCTCCTACTTGCTTTTGTTCTTCCTTTCGCTTTCCCTCCTATTCTCTTAATAGAGCTATTTCCCAAGAATTTGCTCTCTGTTATTTTCCTTTCTTTGTCCATGTACTCTCTCGGCTCTTCCTTTGCAATCTCAAGGCTTCAAAAACTACTTTGCAAACGATTCCCAAATCTTAGGCCTTGGTAGCTTTCCAAGCACCTACCACATTCCTCCATCCAAATACTAGCACCTCACAGCAACACGTTCAAAATTAAACTAATCTTCCTTCTCAAATCTGCTCTTTCTCTACGTTCTCTATTTCTGTATTTAATGACAACACCATCTTACTTCCCACAAGTTCAAAACCTTAAGAGTTATTTTGGCTTCTTCCATTTCCCTTATTCTCCATATCTGATTTGTCCATTTGCTGACCATTCGTTGCCAATCCTACTTCTGGATTACATCATCATTCTAATATACACTCCTTGTTACCTTCACTTACCTACTCCACAACTCAAATCACTCTTCAAGTCTCTTCCTATGCAGGTCCAATCATAACACATTTAACTGCCTTTTCAGGAGGGAAAAAGACAATTTCCACAGTGTCAATGGGATAAAATCAAAACTCAGCTTTCATTTTAAGACTTTCCACTAACCTAGATCTAACCTACCTTTCTAACTAATTTCTTAGTTCTTCACTAGTAGCATATCTAGTCAGACTGAATACTTCACCTGTTCTTATACATATTACCCTCACTCACTTTCTCACCTCTGAGCCTCTGCCTATCTGTTTTCCTAGTCTGAAATAAGACCCAGCTTAAATGTCATTTAAGAAGCCAAACAGAAGTAATAAACCTCTAAAATACTCCCAACACTTTCATGGCAGTTCTCTTAGGTCATCTGAACCCATCTTGTACTATACTTATCTGTATGCCAGGGCTGAATCCATTTCTGATGTATATTTATATCCCTTTGGGCATCTGGCACAATTTCCAACTTTATTATACCTTCAGAAAACATCTGAGTGCCTACTATGTACTAGGCACTAGGGATGGATACCGCAATGAACCAAAGAAAATTGCTGGTTTTATGGTATTTACATTCCCACGGGAGAGGGAAGGTCGTGGGGGAAAAGTGCTTTGAAGAAAAACAAAGCAGGGTCTGAGAAGAGAGTCATGCAGGGTTGCTACTTTAGAGAGGGTGGTCTTAAGGAAGTTCTCTGAGCGTTAGTTGTAGGTCAAGTCTGAAATGAAGAGAAGAGGTGAGTCTGGGGATGACCGGGCCGTGCTGGCATCTTTGACTCTTCAAATGATTTTTCCACTGAGAGTCCACCAGGTATCCAGCACTAGGCTGGACCAGAGATAAAATATACACAGCAAAATAATAATGGACAAAAAGCTTTTTCAATTTGTGAGACAAGCCACAAAAAAGGGAAAGTTGTTGACCACAAGGATGTAATGGCACAGGTACCTAAGAGCATTTCAAAGTACTGACTGAAATAGTTACTGAAAATCAATTTAAGACACTTTTCTGCTCAAGGATGCATCCCCCAAAAAAGCCAGCTTCCATTTCTTAAAACCACCAGAGATGTGCACCGTAAGCATCACACTTCTTAAAAGGAAACAGAGTCTATAAAAGTCCATGGGTGAAGGGCATTTTATAACTGATCTGAACTGACATTCTGCTCAGGAACATTTTAAGGTCTCAGGCTTACGGTTCAGTGTCTATAGTGTACAGGGCAGAATTTAATCAGCAAAATCTGTGTAAACATAGAAACTTAGAGCAGTGAGGCCTGATGGCTATTTAGGCTTATTACAAGGTAAGCAACACTTTTCAAAATTCTGTCAGCAGTTCCTTTGATTCATACAATATGTTCTAACATTTCTCCAAAGATCCACAAAGGAACACAACGGTTCAATTTTTCATGAGTGCCCTGAAGAAAAACTGTTTCTTAAGTTCCAGTAGAAGTAAGTAGTACAGGTTTTTCTTTAACTCAGTGTTTGAAGGAGGAGGTCATTTTTACTTCCTTTACCTCTAACCATCTACATAAGTAGCTGCAAATTCTACTCGATAGCTTCCATCTTCCTCTTCTCTCACTACTTCCCCACAATCAAATGCTGATTCAGTACGCAGTGTCCATTTTCTTAAAAGTTCAAGACTGGTGTCAGTTCTTCTTCCCCTATCTCAGGTCCTACTCTAAAAGCCAATGCACCTTTTCGAACTCAGGCCTGAAGTAATGATATACATTTTTCTGTGTATGATTTCACCTAATAAGGGACTAAGATTTATAAGTCACCAATACATAGGTATATTAAAAATTAAATGAGCAATTATAGTTCCTGTTTTAACTTCAAAAGTAGAAAGATAAATACAACTTGACAGGACTCATAATCACCATTTCTTTCTTCTTTTTTTTTAAGATTTTATTTTTCCTTTTTCTCCCCAAAGCCCCCAGTACATAGTGGTGTATCTTTAGTTGTGGGTCCTTCTGTCTGTGGCCTGTGGGATGCCTCCTCAGCATGGCCTGATGAGTGGTGCCATGTCCACACCCGGGATCCAAACCGGCGAAACCCTGGGCGGCTGAAGCTAATCACGCGAACTTAACCACTTGGCCACGGGGCCGGCCAATAATCACCATTTCTGTAGATCAAGCAAGACAGTGTTGAAAAGCAGCCTTTACTTGAATATGAGATAAACGGAAAACTCCTCCAACGATGCCGGCCGGTGCACTAACTACCA